CCTACAAGTTGAGACAGTTATTAATCACCCTACCAAATTGTGAATCTAAGAAAGTCAAAATGATAGGGACAAAATGCAATTGCTTTGCATACAGATTTTCCAAGCTCTTTTTTGGTTGCTTTTAAAAGAAAAAAGTATCACATTTCACTGGAGAAGTGAGTTGGAAAGGATGTTGAAGGTCTTAAAGACCAATCCTCCATCAGATATTTGAATTTCCTCATCAAATTCGTTTCTTTGCTTTTCAGAATTATTAACTTTAACGGTATTTGGGTAACAAAGACCAAAAACAGAGGCACAGATTCAAACACAAAAAAGTTACCAAAGCAGTTGTATAAAATGTGTAACATTTTCAAGAGCAATGTTTATCTTTTCTGTCAAACCAACCTCTGAAGCCACATTCTTGGGGAGCTCCAGATGAACAACGTAAACACCATCCTGGTAATAATTCTCAAGTTTGAAAAAGGTAAACTGAACCTCAAGCCCAACTGATAACATTTCTTTTGCCAGCCTAAATCTTAAAACCTAGGTTAAATCCATACATTCCTTCCTTTCTTCCTTCCCAAACCTCCCACTTAAAAAACACTAAAGTATTAAATCTTTACTTTCAAGCATATATACATGTATATACATTTACATATACATGTATATATGGTTGAAAATATACGTATATATGTAGAAGCATATACATATATATATAGCTCACAAAACCAATGACACTGGTATTAGACTTGCCTGCATAAATTATGTACACCTCTCTTCTTTAAAACAGTGATTCCCATCTTTCCCAAATAGACAAAAGACAGCAAGCTAGTCCTCAGCAGGCTTATAAGTGGTCTGCACTACTTTCCCCTCCAAACAGCTAGCTGTAAGGTAACAGAAGGCTACTTCTGATTTAACTCTCACAGGAGCTAGGATGGGGATGTCTCGGCCATTGGGATTATTAAGCTGAAAACCGACAGCCTGTGGGCATCTGAGTGATGTCCTTCAGTGGCAGGTGCTTATGCCAAATTTCACCTGAGGTCCTTTGGGTACCTGCCTTGGGTTCTGTGGCAGCCAAGCATTTGAGGAAGCCTCAAAACTAAACTGCTAATGTGGAAAGAGGGCCTGCTCCCAATCATGGTCCCCCTCTTCTTCTGCTTTCTGCTTCCTAAGGCTCAAGGACCAGACCAAAACACGCACTGCTATAATGGTAGGGCCATTCAGCTGCTCTGAGGTCGATGCTTTATGCTTAATTTCTATTGCTGCTTTCCCCCACCCCACCAGATGTTTCTGGTGATAGAAGGGAAGAAGAAGAGTGGGATTCTCTTGTGGCTGCCATATGCATATGAACATGTATAAAAAGTGGTGAAACCCAGATGAGGGTTCTGCTTCTGGTTTATATACAATAATTTAATCAGTTGTACACATTTAATACCTAAAAAATTAATTCACGATCAAAGTCCTTCATGCATTTTATGAGGAAGTTCTGGATTAAAATGATGGTCAATCAGATGTAGCTTTTGCCTGGGAAGATGATGTCATTTTCTGTTGTAGAGTCATCAGTGCTTGTGGTTCACACTAACTTAAATTTTTAGTTTCTTTGTAGTCTCAAGTCTTTTTTTCAGCAGCTCCCCAATTTCCAGAAGTGAGTGTAGGTAACTGCTCTGCACCTTCCCTTGTACAGTCTTTGAAAATTTTCTCTCTTCCTACAAAGGAAACAAGAATTAGTGGTCTTGCTCAGAAAGCATTCCCCCAGATTAGAGATCCTCAGGTATAAGTTAAAATTACCACTGCCTCTGGTCTCACTGCAAGCTCCATCAGAATAGAGTGGGTCATTTTCAATTTCATTAAATGCAAAGATGGCTAATCTCATCACAGATGTATATTTTTCCATGTGACTTTTCACTGAGACCCCTGTTGCTTTAGCATTACCAATCTTTCAAGTAACCTTTGTTATAAATTATATCAAGTCGGAAAAGCGAGATTTCTGATTTCTAGTTTTCATCAAGAAAAAAAGTTAGGGGCTTCCCTGGTGGCGCAGTGGTTGAGAATCTGCCTGCCAATGAAGGGGACACGGGTTCGAGCCCTGGTCTGTGAATATCCCACATGCCGCGGAGCAAATGGGCCCGTGAGCCACAACTACTGAGCCTGTGCGTCTGGAGCCTGTGCTCCGCAACAAGAGAGGCCGCGATAGTGAGAGGACCGTGCACCGCGATGAAAAGTGGCTCCCGCTTGCCACTTCTAGAGAAAGCCCTCACACAGTAACGAAGAGCCAACACAGCCATAAATAAATAAATAAATAAATAAATAAATACTTTTAAAAAAAAGAAAAAAGTTAGAAAATTATTACTAAGTACTTTAGCCATAAAATCACTACTATTATGAGCTGTACAAAGTGGAAAAATTGAGATTTCTTATTATTAGTTTCATCGGAAAAAAGCAGAAATTTATTATTAATTTAGACTTATCACAGCCACTTTTTAAAGGCATCAAATTTACCAGTATCATCTTTTCTAGTTACAATATTGACAGGCCTCCCTCCATATTGACAAAGTCCACCATCATGTTCCAGAGGCCAAACAACTAAAAAAGACCAGTTTTCCTAAGGCTGCTCAAATATGTGAGTTAAATATTTGCTGCACGTTTGACCTGTGGTAGAAAGCACAAAAAATAAAGGGGATGGAGTGTTCAAACACAGAAAGAAGGTTGGCTGAAAACTGGTTAGCTTTACATGAAGTTGGCAGTACTTTAAAGCCCAAAAGAAACCAGATAAGCACATTTTATGACCCAACAAGTGCATAAAAAGGTATGTACACAAATACATTTCATTCAGTACTATATGTAAAAGCAAATGTACAGAAACAACCTAAAATATGTCCAATGGCTGTGGTACATTCATATTTTGAACGCTATACAGTTGTTTAAAAGAACAAGATTGATCTAGATGCAGTAGCCTGAACAGAACTCTTGAATATTGGTTGAGTGAAAAAGAAACATGCTTCTGAATAAAATAAAGTGTATATAATTTACTTTAAAAAAAACCTAACAGATGTTAGAGTACATTATAAAGTTACATTAAGACCAGATGGTTTTTTTAAAAAAGGGTGGGGAGGAGGACACTTCCCTGGTGGTCCAGTGGATAAGACTCCATGCTCCCAATGCAGGTGGCCCAGGTTCGATCCCTAGTTGGGAACTAGATCCCACATGCATGCCACAACTAAGAGTTCGAATGCCACAACTATGAGCCCACATGCTGCAACTAAAAGATCCCACATGCTGCAACAAAGACCTGGAGCAACCAAAATAAATAAATATTTTAAAAAGGAGGGGAGGGGTGTCTTGGCATACAACCAGTTTCAGTGGATACCGCTAGGGAAGAGGAAAGGGGACCAGGACTAGAGGTAGTACTCCAGAGGCCTTGTTCATAGTGTTTCAAGTTTAGAAAGAAAGGAAGGAAGGAAAGAAAAAAGTGAACCTAATGTAAATGGAACTGAAGTTGTTTTTTTTTCTTTTTTTTTTAAACCCAAAAGAAAGTACTGAGCACTACATGGATCCAATATTTGGTGGCCCGTGTTGCTTAGTATGTTATATGTATCATGACTTTAACAAAATAAGGCAATATACAGCCATTATTGTTTTGTTTAATCTTCACTATAACCCTATGAAGTAGGTATTATTTTATCTGAGCAGGACACTATGGGGCCTTCCTGGGACAGGCCTTCCCCCATATCCTCTGCTTTAGCTCTTCTCTGAAGTACCTAGATAATAGTATTTGATGCAAATTTCCTGAGTTGTTTTGCAGATGTGAAATCAATCCCCCCACCAAATGGAAGATGTTAACTACTTGATGACCATGAGCACATAGCCCCAGGCCTCCTGGAGCCTAAGGACTGATAAAGTTAACCCCTGTGACACCACCCTGTTCCCCCATCATCAGCCAATCAGAGAACTGTGCAAAGTTAACCTCTGTGACAACACCCTGTTCCCCCATCACCAGCCAATCAGAGAACTGTGCACAATCTGATCACATACCCTGCGACCCTCCTCCCTCACCTGGCTTTTAAAAATGCTTTGCTGAAACCCTTCAGGGAGTTCTGGGCTTGTAGGGCATGAGCCACCCGTCTCCTTGCATGGTCTTGCAATAAACCTTTCTCTGCTCCAAACTCCAATGTTTCAGTTTGTTTGGGCTCACTGTGCACTGGGCACGCGAGCTTGCATTAACATTATTATGATTTCCATTTTACAAATAAAGAAACCGAGGCCCAAAGAGGTTAAGCGACTTTCCCAAGGTCAAAAGATGAAGACAGAACCAGGGCTTGGAAAATCTAGAAAGTAGCCCAGAGTTAAGGATAACCTCTAGAATAATCAAAATGAGAAATCTTATTCCTCATTTCAGGAGGCAGATAGATCTTTCAACAAGAACCACCACTCAATCCTCTTGACAACAGCAGGGCTACTATGCCTGTCACCTTTGTATCCAACAGTCCTTCCCACATACCACTGAGGCAGGAGATAGATGGGTTCCAGGCTAGGCATTTACAACTGGCCTCCAGTTCACACCTCATGGGATGAGGAGAAGATGAGCTCCAGGCTGGACATTCATTACCAGTCCCTGTTTACATTTCCTGAAGCGAGAGACAAACGGGCTCCAGAACTACATGTTTATGACTGGACTCCTGTCTATATTTCGAGATGTGCACCTCAATATAAAAACCAGCAACAGGAACAGGGTAAATAACCAGACATTGGGCATTTTAATGGCAGGGACAGAGTGGGACTAAACCCTATTAAATGATCCAGAGGTCACACACCTCCCATCCTTGGGGCAAGGGAAGCACTACGCATGTGCAAAAGCCTGTACAGTGTCAAAAAGGCAGGAGATGCCAGACCATAGTAAGTCCTGCCATCTCCTCCCAGAGGCCTTTGCAGTGGGATCCATCTTAACTTAGGGGTGCGTGCGCACCCAGGGGAGGGTCCAGAAACAAATTAGCCCTGGGGTCAAAACAATACAACTGGCCAAAAAGAAGACAAAGACCGGGAAGACTGACACCTTATAAAGGATTTAAACTTCCCGAAGGCGCTACTCTGTGAGTTCGCCTCTGCATCTTTCCGCATGTACTTTGCTTTTCCAATAAACTTTTTACTTTTCTTTACCTTCTGCCTCCTTGCCTGAATTCTTTCTTGCCAAGGCATGTAAGGACTAGGGACCCAGGCCCTAGCTGCTGGCCCCTGTGGTCCAGTGGTTAGGACTCCCAGTCTGGGAACTAAGATCTTGCTTCCTGCTACTGCTCACTGCTGCTTGCTGCAAGCTGCCACTTACTACTGCCTGCATCCGAAATCACCATGGGCTCTGGCTCTGCCAAATGACTCATGGTGCACCACACAATTCACTTTCCTGCCTCTGTGCTGTTGTCTGTGCCTCTTCCTGCTTGGGATTCCTTTCCTCCATTCCTGTCTGCCTGGTGAAAATTTATTAATCCTCAAATGTCCCCTTTCCAGTGAGACCCTTTTTGACTCACTCAGATTTTTGTGCCTATATCGTATCTCCAATTTAGTAATTTGCATGCATTGCTCTACAGCCAGACTCTCTACAGCAGGTCTTTGATCATTATATTTCTACAAGCTTTAAGCCCAACAATAGTGAGCTCAATAAATTTATATCTACTTATTGAAAATCTCAAAGATGTCCGGCAAAGCCCAACCACATGAAGCAATGTGACATCTGTCCAAGTGTGCAATCCTTAAGATTTTAAAAAATAGGTACTATAATTTCGAGTTCTTACTTTTCTATACTGTTCACAAAAGGGGATGGGAGTTTACAGCACAGGATGAGTTTGCATTTAATCTAAAAAGTCAAAAGTTAAACAGCTCCAAATCTACTACTATGAATTACCAGATCTCTTTATAGGTAAAAGGGGTCCAAAAGGACTAGCAAGGACCTTTTGGTATGCACGTGGGGCGGAAGGCAGATTCCTGCCTGGGATGTACCTGTTTCACAAGGATTTAATTACTAGGCCTTTACTAGGTAACCAAGTACCTGGAAGTCATAAAGGCTAATGGCAGACACAAATGTGTTAAGGGGATAGAGAAGAGGGAGAGGTGGAGGTGGTTCTGGATGGTGGGACTGTGACTCATTTGGGGCTGGGAACTGGGAGGTGCTACTCTCTATTTTCTAATTCTCTTGTAACAAGCATACATTTTTGTCTGTAAAGAAACAGTGAAACACTACAGAGCAATTAAAAGGAACAAGGTAGATAAGTTACTTATATGTAATGATCTCCTAGAGACTAAACACAAAAACAAGAGACTAAACAATATGTATAATACGCTACAAGAGACTAAATAATATGTATAATACGCTATCATTTGTGTTTAAAGGCAAGATGTGGGCGGGGAGGGGCATGGTCATAATGTACTTGTAAATGGGTTCTCTAACTCAGGAAGATTACACAAGAAATCATTGATAACAGCAGTTCCTTCTAAAAAGGGAACTAGGGAATGGGTTAGAATGGAAAGGAGACAATTCACTGGATATTCTTTCTTTACTCTTTGAATTTTTTTTTTACCATGTACATATTTTACTTTCTAAAACAATGTAAGGCTTAAAAAAAGGAAGACAAAAATCCTAAAGAATTAATAATCCATCAATCAGTACCTCTAATTACCACTGAAGTCTATATTCATTCTAGCGTACATAAGAAAACAGTTGAATACATAGCTTAACTGGCTAAAACCAAACTTCTAGCCAACACTTTTCTGCTTTCTTTAATCAGTCTTTGGAAATGTTCAATGCTCTGAGCCCTTTCCCACAGTTAGCCCTTTTCTCAAAGCTCTAACATGTTAACATTTTACAAAAGAGGGGCTTACAACCTTTTAAAGCTGGTGTGCCAAGCAAGATTTCATTCACTCCCTTCCCTAGAAGGGCCTGGGTGGAGGTTTTAGGCTAGGATGATGCCTGCCCTCAGATTGCTGGATGAGCTTCCTCATCAGCAGAGGCTTAGGTCAGACAAACTACTCAAGGAAAGCATTTCCTCACGATTGGAGTTTCACCACTGGAACAACTAGCCAGAATCAGGTGGCTCCACCATTGCTCTTCTGGCTCCTATCAAAATCCTAAACCTACTCCAAGCTGGTGCAAGTTAACTCACCTGACACCATCTGTTTGTTTTATTTAATTAACTTTTTTAAAAGAATCCACATTTTTTTTTTTTTGGTACGCGGGCCTCTCACTGTTGTGGCCTCTCCGGTTGCGGAGCACAGGCTCCGGACGCACAGGCTCAGCAGCCACGGTTCACGGGCCTAGTCACTCCGCGGCATGTGGGATCTTCCCGGACCGGGGCACGAACCCGTGCCCCCTGCATTGGCAGGCAGACCCTCAACCACTGCACCACCAGGGAAGCCCAAGAATCCACATTTTTTAAAGTGAGACTTTATCAGGGATTTTGCTAGCAGAATTTTAAGAAACCAGCCTAAAATAATGATCAGGAGAAAACTAACTGACTAGTACCTTTGATTCCATACTTGTTTCCATTCCTTTTTGGCTGGCTTGCTCTAGCCTCATTATTACTGACATAATTAGTTCTGATGTCCAGCATCTTTCCTTTTCCATGTGATAATTGCTGGGCTGGCAAAGAAACCAGCCAATCCAACAGCAGGTAAGTTCTCAGTCAAGGAGATTGTCCCTGAATCTCAAAAGTATGGCTGGTTTCCTATGGTGCTCAAAAGAGGGGCAATACTAATTCTACTCTTCAACAATTCATCAATTGTTTTCACAGTAAAAGAACACCCCCAAAAATGTATTCAAAGGTGGAAAGCGGGAGGGGGGATGAAGGGGGAGGAGACACCACCACCACCAAGACCACAGCAAAAAACCAGTGCCAGGCACCTTCTAATCACAAGTCCCATAAGGAGAGAATAATGAATTAAAAATTAACTTGTCCCTGTGATAACAATAAGAACACTTGAATATCTATATATAACTTACTGCTGATCAACTATAGTCTCTTACCATACAGCCTCTTACCAGTGAGAGGGAAGTGTCTTCTAAAATAAGTTCTTCAAGTTTAAGTGCAATTAGATGTGTTTCAAGTCCTTTAATATGATCCACAACATTCGAAATTAAAGTCTGAAGCCCAGTAACATAGTCTTGGAAACTGGTAAAGACAGGTGGCTGGAAAAAAAGATTTTTAAAAAGTTGAAAGATTATCAAACGTATTTCTCCCATGCTATATCACATAAGATATACTAATTTCATGCTATAGCATTACTTAATTCTATTAATAGTAACAGGATGGGACTTCCCTGGAGATCCAGTGGTTAAGACTCCGCACTTCCACAGCAGGGGGCGCGGGTTCAATCCCTGGTTGGGGAAATAAGATCCCACATGGTGTGTGGTGTGGTCCCCGCCAAAAAAAATAGTAACAAGGATAGATAGAGTTTGGGATATTAAGAGAGTCTCTCAAACCAAGGTAAATTTAATAGCCACCAAATGCTAACTCAGTAATGACGACTTTTTTTCAGTGTGGTTTTATTTCACTCTGGGGAAGTGGAGGTGAAAAAAAACAAATAAAAAATCTTAGTTGGTCATTATTCAACTTCTGGTTGGGAATCTCCTAGAACACTAAAGGAGATGAGAAGAACCAAGTCTTCATTTCTTTATGTCTTTGAGATTTCCTCTAATGTTAATAACAGAAACAGAAATTCTAAATTCTAATGGAAAAAATGATGGGTGACAACAATCAAGAAAATTCTGAAAAAGAGCCGTTAAGGGGAACTTGCCCTAATAGATATTAGAGTATATTATAAAGTTACATCAAATCCAGATGGAACTGGTATATAAGTAAATTGACAAAGACTGAAAGAACACAAATCCCAAGATAGAGCAAAGAATATAAAGGAATTTAAATGGTGACCTTTCAAAACAGTGGTTTTCAAGTGGATGAATGGTACTGCATAGCTAGACATATTGTGAAATATAAAATAAATAAAATAATAAATAACAAAATAAATTCCAGACAGATTTAAATACTTAAATTTTTAAAAAAAATCCATCGAGGCACCAGAAGAGGATTTAGGTAGTGGATTCTGCTTTCATAAACTGAAAAGGTCTTTCTAAACATAATACTAACCTAAGAACAGTTAAAAAAAAAATCTTGGGGGAGGGGCAATAGGTGGGTGGGGAAGTGGGAGGTACAAACTACTGGGTTAAGATAGGCTCAATGACATATTGTCCAACATGGGGCATATAGCCAATATTTTGTAATATCTGTAGATGGAAAGTAACCTTTAAAAATTGTACAAGAACTAAAAAAAATTTTTTAATCACCATACATTTGGAAATCATTGAAGAGCACCTAAACAAAACAATGGTCAAAGAATAAATCACAAGAAGTATTAGAAAAAAATGTTTGCTATGTCAGATGAAGATATGAAGTACCAAATCTGTGGGATAAACATAAAGTGGTGATTAGCAGCAAATCTGGAGTCCAAATCCCATTAGAAAAAGGATAAAACCATAAAACGAATGATCTAAGCATTAATTCAAAGGAGTTAGGCATGACAAAAAATCTTATTTTTTAAAAACTACTATATTGACAAAAAAATCACTCAAAGACATGTCAAAGTGAAAAAAACTGCATCATATATGAAAAAGAATTGTGTTAACACTACTATGTTAAGAGTCTAATAGCTCAAAACATATCAATGGAAAAAACACTACCACCACAATAGGAAACTTGGGCAAAGACAGAAACAGAAGTCTTCTTTGAAGGTGCAACATCAATAGAATTTTTTTAACGCAAATTGGAAAATTTTTGCCTATCAAATGGGTAAGGATACAGACACACCACACCACTGGGGAATGTAAAAACAGGTATCTCCAGCTTTTTGAAAATTCACTTCACGCCACTTAGCTTTCATGAAAGACCTACATTAGTACCTGTTTTGGCTAACCAAAAGAAATCCAAAGAGGATTTTCGCTTTCACAGGAAAAAGGCGGCGAAAAGCGTTTGCAGCAAGCTGTTACAGAAGCAGCACACACCCTTAGCAGCAAGAGTGGCACCGGAAGTGCCACTCAACATCAAGCCGCCATAGTAGTGAACTATGTCTGTAAGCATCTGTGCTTTATCTCAATTTACTTTGTGCATCCATTGTCCTAAGGTAATTCCTTTTTATGCCACCTGGGCTTATGAAAGGTGCTATACTTCTGGATAGCAGGGGAAACCTGTATACATAGTAATGTCAGATCTAAGAGATAGCCTAAGGAAATCATATTATAAATTCATCTTGTGTTTGTCCTTTTTTTTTTTTTTTTTTTTTTTTGCGGTACGCGGGCCTCTCACTGCTGTGGCCTCTCCCGCTGCGGAGCACAAGCTCCAGACGTGCAGGCTCAGCGGCCATGGCTCACGGGCCCAGCGGCTCCGCGGCACGTGGGATCCCCCAGGACAGGGGCACAAACCCGCCCCTGCATTGGCAGGCGGACTCTCAACCACTGCGCCACCAGGGAAGCCCTGTCCATATTTTAATAGCAGTACTATTTATAATATTAAAAGAAAATCAGAACATTCAACAATGGGAATAAGTTATGGTATATTAATATAACAGGATAGTACATAACCATTAAAAGTAATGAGATACATCTATATTTACTGAAATGAAGAGATGTCTAAGACACCCTATTAAGTGAAAACAAAAACAAATAGCAAAGTTGCAGAACTTTCTATAGAGCATGATTCTGGTTTGTACGCAGTGGCTATCTCTGTTTGCTGGGAAAACGGGTGATCTTCACTTTATTCATATATTTAGGTTACACTGACAATCAGAAAAATAGGCGGCTATTCTCATTTTTGGAAATTAGAAAAGCAATAACTACAAAAACTCTCACAAAATCCAAATACCAAAAGCTATCTGACAAGTACTAGGGTGTAGGTTTTCATTAGAAGAGAAAGTAATCACATAACTCTGATCAATTCTTTCAAACTTTTCACTCATGGTCTGTTAAATTATCTTGAACAAAGTGAAGGAGAGAAATGAATGAATGGCAACACCCAGGACAAGTGTCAAATCTAAAACATTCCTGAATTGTTACTGAATTGTGCAGGAAGTTAATATTACTAATAAATCCATCAACATTTTCAAACAACAATGGTTACTATATTCCTACAGTGAACAAAAATCTTCCATTAATAATAATAAAATTCGAACATTAACAAAACAGCATGCCATTAGAGAATAAATCCTAAACATCTTTCCTTATGAAAAGGATATAAATTATGTTAATGTTTTACACATGCAAAAATTAAATCAATTAAGATGGGAGGAAACTCCAAAATTGAATACAAACAGAAATAGATGACTCTTATTTACATCACACTAATAATATAATCTGAGTTTTTAATTCCAGTGCTTTTACAAAGTACCTCAACTGTCTACATTCACTGGAACATATTCTAAGGACAAAAAAGAAATGCAAAAATTTGAACTTTATTTAGTGGGTTTGTTATTGGAACTGGTAGTGGAACCAATGTACTAATTCCAAAACTATTTAGTATTTATTGTAAAACAGCAAATGAATAAATATATTGATGCTGCTGGGAACCATGGTTCTTACTCTGAAAAGAAAACTATAAATATGGAATGAGGGAAGGAATGGAAGGAAGAACACTGATATTGGACTAAAACTGGAGGTATCAGTAAGAATTAATTATTTAAAACTCTGTGTGTGTGTGTGTGTGTGTGTGTGTGTGTGTGTGTGTATGTGTGTGTGTGTGTAAATAAATTTCCTGTCTCTCTTCATGGCTATTAACTAGAAACAGTAAAACTCTAATAGCAATTAGTATACCTAACAACTAGATCTTGGTATTTTGAATACCATTCCCCATAAAGGAACCAGGGCTCATTGAAAAAAATGACTGATTTCAGTTCAGTGGGTGAGTACAAAGTGCTTGGAGCATTTTTGTTGTTTCAGACAGTAAGGGCTCAAAGACCAATGATGTTCAAGGACGGGAACCAGCTTAAAGTGGCTCCCATTAGCCAAATCTGTGCATCCAAAAGAAAATTATGATAATGGTTTACAAGGTAAATTTAAAAAAGAATGAGTCTACAGTGATACTAAAATAGTGATATTAAAAATATACAGTTCTATTTTTACAGAATGCCAGTTAATAAATGATAAATGATTGGTAGAATTTTTTTAAATCACCATTGTGGAACCACCAAAGAAATAAATGATTCACGCAAGTTAGACTAACAACGGATGTTAAAACCAGTGGGTGAAAGGCTGGTGGGGAACAGGATATTCAGAGTCTCTCAAAGCATCATCTCACAGATTAATTACACGGGGAGGAAAGACACTATTACAATAAAGAAATCTGGCAGATACTTCCTTTATCAAATAATTAAATCTGAAACTATCAATAATGGGACATAACAACATTAGTGCCTCCTAATTTAATTGCTAAAAGGGACATAGCATCTATATTTAACCTAAATCTACAGAAACAATTAGCCAAATCCAGACTGTGGGATAGTCTACCAAAAACCTTGCTAGATTTTTCAATAATAAAGACAAACAAAAGCTAAGGAAGTACGCTTGATGAAAGAAAGGTACAGAGAAATGACAACTAAAAGCTGTGTCAGATCCTTAGTAGGATTCTAGTATTTTGAAAAAGACTATATAGGATGTAACTGGGATAACAGGGAAAAGGTTAATATGGACATTATAATATTATTGTATCAATATTAAATATCTTGAGTGTGAAAATATCTTGAGTATTATGGTTTTGTAGGAGACTGCCCCTGTTCTACCCTGGTGTGTTATGTATCACAGTCTGTACTTTTCTTTCAAATGGTTCAACAAATGGGGGTGGGGGAGGTAGAGAATGAGAGAGAGAGAAAGAGAGAGAGAGAGAGATAAAGCCAATGTGGCAAATTGTTAACAAGTGGTGAATCTAGGTAAGGATGTCTGGGTGTCATTATACTAGTCTTTCAGCTTTTCTGCAGGTGTATTTTTTTTTTAAAGCTGGGGAGAGAAAATGAATGCATATTGGCTCCTATGATCTCTTACAAAATGCAGGAAAACAGTGAAAAGAAAAGACAGCATGCAGCCAGATTGTTACTTGTGTTTTCTCTGTTATTACCATGATGATGCTGGTTTCTTTTTTCTTCTTCTTCTTTTTCTGTAAATTTAATTTGTATGGTCGCAGGACACTCTCACAGTAACTGGACACCCAAAGGATAATAGAAATAGTCTGAAAGATGAAAAATTGCAAATTCATCAATAAGGATTACACTCAAGATATCTATCAAGAACAAAGATTATGAACTAAACAAATTCTATGCAAACAGCTCTACTATGCAAATCTCTTCAAGTTCTATTGTAACTCTCCACTCTCTAACTTCTACAATCACCACACTGATCCAGGTTTTCTTCATATCCCACTCAGAATACTGTCTTTATCCTTTCTTCTGGCTCTCCCAGCTCTAAACTCATCCTCTACTCCAGTGGTCCTCAACCTTCTCAGCACCAGGGACCGGTTTCATGGAAGACAATTTTTCCATGGACGGGGGGATGGTTTGGGGATGATTCAGGCTCATTACGTTTATTGTGCACTTTATTTCTATTATAATTACACTGTAATATATAATTAAATACTTATACAACTCACCATAATGCAGAATCAGTGGGAGCCCTGAAGTTGTTTTCACTTGCCACTCACTGATAGGGTTTTGATATGAGTCTGCAAGCAATTGATTTATTATGGTCTCTGTGCAGTCAAACCTCTCTGCTCATGATAATCTGTATTTGCAGCCACTCCCCAGTGCTAGTATCACTGCCTCAGCTCCACCTCAGATCATCAGGCATTAGATTCTCATGAGGAGCACGCAACCTAGATCCCTCGCATGCACAGTTCACAGTAGGGTTCGCGCTCCTATGAGAATCTAATGCCGCTGCTGATCTGACAGGAGGCAGAGCTCAGGCGGTAATGCAAGTGATGGGGAGCGGTTGTAAATACAGATGAAGCTTCGCTCACCTGCTGCTCACCTCCTGCTATACGGCCCAGTTCCTAACAGTCTGTTAACAGACTGGTTAACAGTCCGTGGCCTGGAGGTTCAGGACACCTGCTCTACTCAGTCCAATTTTCTTTCACTTCCTTGCAGGAGATGGAGATCCATCATCCTTTTCACTGAAGTGAAAAGTCCAAATTCCTAGGTATGGAATCCAAAGGTTCTGTAAAATATGCCTCTCCCCACCCACCTCTCCATCCAGGTAAGATACTGCCTCACCTGCAAACCTTAAATTGTGTATGAAGAAATCTCCCCAGTTGGTCAGCACATATTCTCCTTTGAATTAAGTTAGGTGTTTACATGTCTTCACCTATGCTACACTGTATTCATATCCATATATACATGCAATTATTTCTCATTCACTCATTAAGTATCTCTTAGGCACTTAAAATGTCACCAAAACAGAGAATATTGCCTTCAGGAAGCTTACAGACTAGTAGGAAAAGAAAGTAAATAAACATGTGACAAAATAAACGGAAAAAAGATAATGGATTATGAGTGTTTATGATCCTCTTCTTTCTCTCTCTGGCTAAAAGAAAAAAAGTGTTTTGCTACATCAGCTCCTGGATTCCCCTTCATAATGCAGAATCTCAGCAATTAGTCAACAGCAGCAACAAATTTAGAAAGCTGGCAGAATTAACTTAAACTACATAATAGTTGAGTCAAAAAGGAAAATGAACAGAAGAAAGCTAGATTTGCAGTGAATCTGAGGAATCTTTAGAGATTTGTAAAGCAAATTTCAAGAAGTTTTACCCTAACATTATGAATGAAATTCTCCTGATACTCTTAGAAGGAATTAGTTCAGAAAATTGAAATTGCTTTTCAATTAACAAAAGGTGGGAGTGAAGGGTTAAATTACAGGCATAAGGTGCCTATAACCTGTTAATTTTTGAAAAATTAATCCTGCATACAATTAAGGAAAATTGAGTTTTTCACAAAGAGAACAAAAACATACCTCAACCAAGAAGACTAGATTTTCTAAAAGAGCAGGATGTGTTTTCAAGTTACCATCTTTAACTTCTAAGAGATCACCTTTACATTTACTAAAGACATCTGAAAACAGAAAAATAGTTTATGGTTTTATTCAGCTTTTGTTTCAATGTTATTTTTAGGAACACAATGCACAATCTAATAAAGAATAAGAAAATATAAAGATTTAATCCAGAAAGCTCCCCCACCCCAATGAAACAAACACCAAAGAATATCTATTTTAAGCTCTTTATTTATTTTTTTAAGTTTATTTTATTTTATTTATTTATTGTTTTTGGCTGCATCGGGTCTTTGTTGCTGCCCTCAGGCTTTCTCTAGTTGTGGCGAGCGGGGACTACTCTACTTTGCGGTGCGCAGGCTTCTCATTGCAGTGGCTTCTCTTGTAGCAGAGCACAGGCTCTAGGCACATGGGTTTCAGTAGTTGTGGCACATGGGCTCAGTAGTTGTGGCTTGTGGGCCCTAGAGCACAGGCTCAGCAGTTGTGGCTCATGGGCTTAGCTGCTCCACAGCATGTGGGATCTTCCTGGACCAGGGCTTGAACCCGTGTCCCCTGAATTGGCAGGCAGACTCCCAACCACTGTGCCACCAGGGAAGCCCTATTTTAAGCTCTTTAAAAAGCCACACGACTACTGCTCTATTGTCTTCAAAACATAAAAGGCAGACTTATAAATTATATATTCTAGGGTCTAAACACCAGCTACGGGAACTTCCCTGGTGGTCCAGTGGTTAAGACTCCACACTTCCAGTGCAGGTGGCCTGGGTTAATCCATGGTCAGGGAACTAGATCCCACATGCATGCCGCAATTAAGAGTTCACATGCCACAACTAAGGAAGCCCACGTGCTGCAACTAAGGAGCCTGCGAGCCACAACTAAGGAGGCTGCCTGCCACAACTAAGACCCAGCGCAATCAAATAAATAAATAACTTTTTAAAAATAAATAAAATAAAATATGGGATAACCGTTTAAAAAATAAATAAACACCAGCTACACCTTTCCACAGATAGGCCATTGGCACAATAAAAATAAGACTTCAAGTGGATGGTTTAAAAGAACTTGTGCCATTATAGACTAAAAGACCAATGTGCATGGTAGAAATGCACCTTCATAACAAATACCAGGTTTTATTCTCATAATCTTGATCATCTTTTAATTCTCAGTCTTCATTTGAGCAACAAAATAAAAGACTTTTTTAGGCTCCTAAAAAGAAAGACCCTTATAGATTTAAAATGCACAATAATCTATAATGGAAAAGAATCTGAAGCTGTACACCTGAAACTAACACAGTATTGTAAATCAACTATAGTAAAATAAAATAATAATTTTTTTAAGTATTTGAGAGTTAAAAGAAAATGCATATGTATATTCTTTACCAAATAATTTCATTGCTAGGAATTTAACCCCAAGGAAATACTCAAATAAGTACCCAAACAATTGTGTCCCAAGATATTTATGTCAGCATTGTTATGCATAATATATTATGTACTCAGAGCATATAAATAAATCTGGTACACTGATACAATACTGTGGAATATTATGCAGCCCTTAAAACAAATGGGGTGTGTATATAACTGACATGGTAAAATGTCCAAGATAACAAATAATTAAAGCCAGAAAAGCATGTATTATACCTTTTCATATATTTTTTTAAAAAATCACTACTATGTATTTCCATACACACATGTATGACTGTTTAGGTGGTATGTAGAAATACAGACTGCAAAGTGCCAACAGCACGTACCTACTTACCTCTGCAGGAACGGGGCTGGGAAAGGGGAAAAGACCATACCCACTTGTGTACTGATTTACAATAGGTGTCTACTACTTTTGTAATCAAAACTTTTTAAAGTTAGAAACAAAGTCTTTAAAAATACCAAAAAGTGTGCTTTCTTATTTTTCAAAACCTCTTGCAAGTTTCTATGAAAAAATGAGCTTCTATGAAAAAATGTCAGACAATCAGATACAATATGGGAATCCACAGTAAGACCACTTACCTTTTAACTGTTCTAGTAAAGACTTAAGACTATTCTCTACTCGCTCCTGGATCTCCATTGTATCCTCTAAAATTGAAACACAATGAAAAACTTTCAATTCAATTTTTAGTAAGATAAAGAAGCAAGACCAATACCTGGAAGCATGGGCAAGAACATTTTCTTTTCTCTTAAGACCCACAGGCCTCTAAATTCCATTACTGAGAGAAAGATGAAGGACAGGAAAAGGAGAAAAGGAAAGAGAAAGGGAAAGAAAAAAGGCAAAGAAAGGTATTAATTACTGTTCTGCCAAAAGCACTACCTAAGATTCTCTAGGAGGACCAGAAATCTATGTGTTTCAAATACTCTAAATGACAAGATCCACAAGCCTTATGACTTGGGAAAAACAAAACACAAACAAAAAAACATGACCTATATGGTATTTGTGACTCTCGCTGGGTTGACAGCTTAGAAAAAAATCTTTTCTCTACAAAGTTTAGGCCTTCTTCTTTCTTTTTTTAAATACTTATTTATTTTGGCCACACCAGGTCTTTGCTGTGGCATGCGGGATCTTTAGTTGCAGCATGCAGACTTCTTAGTTGTGGCATGCAAACTCTTAGTTGTGGCATGCATGCAGGATCTAGTTCCCCAACCAGGGATCAAACCCCGGCCCCCTGCATTGGGAGCGCAGAGCCTTACCCACTGGACCACCAGGGAAGTCCCTAGGCCTTCATTTTTAAGTAAAGAATTTAATCTGATACAAATGAAGTTATTTATAAAACAGAAACAGATTCATAGACATAGAAAACAAATTTATGGTTATCAAAGGGGAATGAGGGAGGGATAAATTAGGAGTTTGGGATTAGCAGATACAAACTACTATACATAAAACAGATAAACAACAAGGTCCTACTGTATAGCACAGGGAACTATATTCAGTATCCTATCATAAACCAGAATGGAAAAGAATATGAAAATACATGTATATATATATATAGGTATAACTGAATCACTTTGCTGTACACCAGAAACTAACATAACATTGTAAATCAACTATACTTCAATTTTAAAAAAATTTTTAAATGAATGAATGAGAAGAATTCAACTTGAAATCCAACAATATTTCAACAAATCAAGGATTTCTTCAACTTTTAACTCTAAAAAATGATTTTAAATATGGAACAGACTTAAAAGTGGGAAAATGAGGGAAAGGGAGTGAGCAGCATTTAGAGGTGCGGGGGTGGGGTGTGGGGGGCGCAGCAGGGCTGATTAAAAAAAAAAAAATGGAATGGACTTAAGCTTCTAAACATTATTTTGTAAACTGTTTAATGGACTTTCTTGTATAGCAAACTAGAGATTCCAGAACAGCTTCCAGCTCCCATCTCTTCCAAATTTTTCCAAATATGTGAGGTTATAGATATTTTGTTGCATTTACTAAGTTTTCAGTGACAAAGACCCTGTAAACATACTCATGCAAGTATACACTTACCTAAACCATTGATGTCCAGCTCATAAATATCACTAACAAGATAAAAAGAGTTGGTCTGACACTGAGAACAGCCAGAATTAAAGAATCCAGCCATTCTGGTAGGTACAGGACCAAGGAAAGGATACTGGAAAGGAAAAAAAGTTCTTTAAATGTTCTTTAAATCCACTGAAATTTAAATTCATAAAATACAAAATGAGAAAACAAGGAACTGGATAAAAATCTATCTCCATGATTAAGTTACAAAGCACTGATCAGCAAGCTAATAATAACCAAATCATTATGGTGAAAACAGAAACGCTGTATTAATTTGTTGACAGGTTTAAAAAGTTTACCATCACAAAAAAGTTATTTTGCTTTTCCTCACTATCCAATTTGGATATTGAGGAAGCCTCTGCAATTCCTCAAGTTTAAAAAGTTTGTCTTTTTCCTATAGATGCCATAAAGTGGGACAAAATACTGTTCTTTACTATTCACCCATCCCCAATTCCTATTTTCAAAAAGACAGTCACATATTATTGCAGCTTCGATTGTAAATACGCACTGATGATACCTGAATGTCCTTCTCAATAAATCGCTTTCCCGTCTCCAGGGCCACCTCCAGCTGTTGAAGGAGCAAACGGAAAATATCAATCCGGGAGGATACTCCATTCTCAGTGGTCTTCTCTGAGTTCTCTGGCCCAACAGAATGGTTAAGACTTGGAAGTCCACTGATCAGCCTCAAGGTTAAGGAACGGATTCTTAACCACATTGTCTCCTCCTCCAAGGAAAGTTTCTTATGTTCTTCAGAAACATCCCTTAAAAAGAAACATCCGCAAACCATCCATTTTATTCATGTTAACTTTAAAGCTTTCAAAGTTCACTTTCACCAGTCCAGACGCCTTTGAATGGTCTCAGCTTTCATTTAATAGCTGAATGATCTTGGACAAACCAAAACAGTCCAAGTCCCCATTTCGGTATCCTTTATAAAATGGGAAAGATAACCTACCTAACAGGTCGTTTTCCCCTTACGTGAGATTCATTTTTCTGATGATAAAATACATAATATAAAAATTCAAATGACAGAAAAGTAAAAGGAAAACGGGACCTGATAACCAAGAACCCACAATATATATATATTTTTTAACCACCAAAATGGTTTTATTTTTGACACTGCCAACATGCAGAACAATGCATTACTTTGGTTTCCTTAAACATTACTTAAGTACACATTAGAAATATATGTTTACATTTAAGAAATGTTAACACATTAAAAACATAATCCTCCATAAACATAATTCTTTCTCAATATATTTTCCTGCTTTGTTTCACACATAAATAACATAATCTACAAAGTCATAAATAAAACTATTAACTCTTATGACCTAAAAGTATATACAAATTTTGGAACTTGACAAGAATGTCCTTTATCTGATTTTATATAAATAACAACATGCAGTATTTGCAATGTTTTTTAATTAAATGAATGACTTACAATCAAAACTTTTATTGTCTCCCAACCAGTTCTTCCTATAATAGACCTTCAGTGTACTTGGTAAAGATGTCATGTATTTAAAAAGTCAAAGTGGTCAAAAGACTAGATTTTTAAAACAGAACAGAAGGTTGCCATTAACTATTATTAAGCCTTATTAAAATCACTTCTGTTTGTCTGAAGAACAAAAAATGCTCCCAAAGAGTATATGCTTGTACAATCTTTTTTTTTCTTCTTTTTAAAAAATTTTTGGCTGCACCCTGCAGCATGTGGGATCTTAGTTCCCTGACCAGGGATCAAACCTGCACCCCCTGCATTGGAAGGCAGAGTCTTAACCACTGGACCTGATTTCCGGGGAGGTCCCTATACTATCATTTAAATGGAAGCTAACAAAGTCTTAAAAATTCAGATTAAATTTGTATTAGTCTTGGGAATTAGTCTGTTATAGGAACAGAATCCATGCTATCCTAAGTTTTCTAAAATTTATTTTGAACCATCACTTTGATTAGTTAAAAGTTTCAGGGTAAAAATGACACACAAAAATGATCTTAGAAAGGCATATTTAGAATTCCTGATACAGAACACTTGATTATTTAGTTTTTGTTTAATGACTGGAAATCTTTATTCCTTCAGATAACATTACTTGTTGAGTGACACCATCTATTTAGTGATTTACTAGATAACCACTCAAGGTATATTAAGTAAGCACTCAAATTATTTTTATGTAACAAAAGTAAAACACACTTTTCATGTTGGAATTGTTTCATTATGCATTATTATTTTTAAGGCCGTGATTTACAGAGTATAAAAATTAGAAAGAAAATCATTCTCAATTAATATTCTCACTAAATTTAGATGATTCAAATGATAAATAATAGTAAGCTAAGCACTGTCACTAGATTTTAAATTAGATTTTAAAATCTAAGTTTCATTTTTCAATCAATACAAATATGATCTGCTTCACACTATTAACTGCCAGTCAAACTTTGTTTAAAAAAAACAAATATTCTTTGTTAAAGAGCAGTTTACAACAAATGTTTTTCCATGCTCTTATAAAAAAAAGATTGATATGCATAATGAATCTAAGCCAAAATCCACAAATGGTAGCCAAAATTGTCAACTTTCAGCCTAACACAACATAAATCCAGTTATTCTGCATAAACAATTCAAAATTAAAGTTTATAACGGAGGGCTTCCCTGGTGGCGCAGTGGTTGAGAGTCCGCCTGCCGATGCAGGGGACACGGGTTTGTGCCCCAGTCCAGGTAGATCCCACATGCCGCGGAGCGGCTGGGCCTGTGAGCCATGGCCGTTGAGCCTCCGCGTCCGGAGCCTGTGCTCCGCAACGGGAGAGGCCACAACAGTGAGAGGCCCGTGTACCGCAAAAAAAAAAAAAAAAAAAAAAAAGTTTATAACAGAAATGTCAACAAGTCATAACTACAACATTACTACTGATGGAGAACCCACAATATTAACATGCTTGGTATAGATCCTTTCAGACTTTTGCAATACAATGTACGAAAATGAACTACAAATATTTATGTAATATACTTTAAACAGATAAAATGGGTTCACAGTGTTTATACTATTTTGCAAACTGCATCTTTTTATGACAGTGTGTACAGAAAACAGTTAACATAGGCTTGCCTGGTGGTGCAGTGGTTAAGAATCTGTCTGCCAATGAAGGGGACATGGGTTTGATCCCTGGCCCAGGAAGATCCCACATGCCGCAGAGCAACTAAGCCTGTGCACCACAACTACTGAACCTGTGCTCTAGAGTCCGCGAGCCACAACTACTGAGCCTACGTGCCACAACTACTGAAGCCTGCGTGCTTAAAGCCCGTGCTCCGCAACAAGAGAAGCCAAGACAGTGAGAGGCCTACTCACTGCAACAAAGAGTAGCCCCCACTCACTGCAACTAGAGAAAGCCCACACAGCAACGAAGACCCAACACAGTCAAAAATAAAACAAACAAATAAATAAATAAAAAATCTCCCCACCAAATATTCTTTAAAAAAAAAAAGTTAACATAGCAACCCTGAGGCTATTATCTTCAGAAGGGCCTACTTGCAAGGTTGGCCCTTGCCTGGTGTCTGGGAACCTAGCAGGCCAACCATTCCCTAAATGACAAGAGTGGCTCACCTGCCTAGATTGTTCATACAAATTATGTGGTTAAGGGTGAACAGTGCTTTCCTTCTGGGAGTCTGAAATGTTGGTACATGCTAGACTGAGGGTGCCTACATCACCAGCCGATGAAAACCTTGGGCACCAAATCTTTAATGGGTTTCTCTGGGCAGAAATATTGCACAGAAATACCGCATTTTTTGCTGCTGGAGAAAGGAGCACACGCTCAGTATATTCCTTCGTAGGAGGGAGAGAACACTGGAAGTCTGTGCATGGAGTTTTCCAAACTCCACCTATATGTCTTTCCCTTTGCTGATCCTGTCATGTATCCTTTTGTTATAAAAAAACTTAGTTGTGAGTCCAACTACATGTAGAATCCCATGAGTCCTGGCAAATCACTGAAGGTAGTCTTGGCAGCCCCCAAATTACAGCATATTCCAGAACTACCTTGTATACATGTCTCTGCATACTTGTGCACTTATTCCTTAGTTTCCACTTTCCTAGAAGTGGTTCTCCTGAATTAAATGCTACACAGCCTTTTCAATCTTGATACATATAACTAAAATTCCCTATAGAAAGGTTATATAAAGTTTTACTGCCATGTAAACTCACAACCACTTTCCCATAACCTAGCTGAGAGCAAGGATTAAACTTTTTTATGTGATAGGTTAAATCTTCATCTGATAGATTAAAATACAAATCTTTATTGCTGTAAAGTACATTTCTTTAATTTCCTATTAAACCCTTTGCCCCATTTGTTTTTCATTTATCTTCTTCTTATTGATTTCTCTGTATATGTGAAGGATATTAATATATATGAAGAAATTTACCAATTTACCAGATACCTCTAGAACTTGTTAACAAATTTACTTCTATATAGAAGACTAATATTTAGAGGTCAAATTCTTTGTTTCCAGATCTGATGTAATGCTGAGAAAGACTTTCCCAACCATTTAAAAATATTTTTTATATTTTCTTCTAAGTTTTAACATATAATCTTTAATCCATCTGGAATCCGTTTTCATGTATGCTGTGAAGGAGGAATTAACTTTTAGATTAACCAGTAATCTCAACATAGGGGTGAGGTTTTCTTTTCTTCCTCTGGCTTACCTATATTTTCTGATCCCTACAATAAAAATGTTATTATATATACATAATATATAATATATAAAACTCTTAAATTCATCTTGATTCTTTAAAAATAAATTGCTTGGTGTTAAATTCAAGTTACCTGTCTTTTGGATCCCAGCTAAAGAAAACATTTAAGTCTCTGTTGTCTCGCAAGGCTTCCCATGGAATGTCATCTTCTTCTGGCCGAAGATTCATTGACTTTATACTTTCTGCTAAGCTGGTTGATCTGTGATAATGAAAATTTATTTAAGTATTATTCAATAATAAAATAGTCATGAAAACATGTTAGCCAGGACTTTGTTTTACTAGAAAGAGAGAAAAGGAAAGAGTGAAGGAAGGCTTTAATATTAGGAAGTAAAAGCTCATATAACGTGAAATAGAACCAAGCACTGGTTCTGGCCTGCTACACAGCAAAAGAAAGGCATCTGGAGGCCCAACCAAAATAAAGTTCATCAGCATTAATTCCTGAAATCCCATGTTTGCAGGGTATGGGGAAGCTTGTAAACATAATATGGGCCAGGGATGATGACCATGGCCTAGCTGGTTTCTGTATGGAACCTGGGATGGTACTGGCAGTACCCTATCATTCCCCATGACAGGCACCTTCCCCTTTCTTCCCTGTTCCCTCCTACATTTTTTTCCCCCATTTTTCTTTAGCTTAAGCCCACTAATGACACCCATGAGGCCCATTAATGGCTCACAGTATCTGATCTAATCTCTTAGTTCCTTATTAGCTCTTGTGCAATACTTACACATTTGCTTCAAGTAGAAGGTCTAACAACATCCGTTCAGTACGGACTTGTGCAAAATGAAGAGAATTATTCAGCCTGTTCCTAAAAGCGATAAACTCTGGGATCTTCTCAAATGCACCATATTTGTAAGCTTGAATAATATATTCTGAGGTCTGGGAAGGAAAGACATCACCTTGGTATAAACATTTCACATGTCAGGCAATGAAGACATACCTTGCCAGACAAAACAAAACAACACTCAAAATAAAATTAAGATGTTGAGTCTAATCTTTAAAGTTCTTGGTCACCAAATAGAATATCAGCTTTTAAAAATGTTATTTTTCTTGTATCCTATACTGGAGTCAAATGTCTTCTTCACTAATATTACTACTAATAATATTTAGCTGCTGCTACCACCATGTAGACTTTCTCCTAGCAGTTATGTTCATTTCAACAGGACTGAAGGTTTTGTTACACCACATCAGTCAAGGTTTTGGTTAGTGCCATTGTGGAAGGGATATTACTCCATGTTTTTCTGCATCTAAGATAAACTTTGTTTTATACAAAGGTTCCCAAAACACCAGAATAACATAACCATCCCACCACCACCACAAATAAAAATTACTGTCCTTCCGAAAAAAGACAGGCTGCTCCTTGGTTTTGTTTACTTCTGAATAATATATCACAAACATAGGAATATGTGTATTGCATCAAGATAGAAGACACCAAACAAAAGACCTATAAAAATTCATGTCATCATCCATTCTGAGGACAGAAAATGCAAAAACCAGGTTACCTGTCCATCCAAACTACTATGCTAGAAAATCCCATAACATACACCACATGTGCTTTAATTAGATTAATACATATATACAGATGAAACATGAACAGAGGCAAGATAAAGAATCCTAAACAGAAATTCTGGCACAACAGAAGAAAATCTCAGGGAAGTACATTTCATGGGTATGGGCCTACGCCATCAGGATCGGAAGTCAGAAGGGCACCCTTGTGGGCTAAGTAAAGTACTAAACTCAAAGTTGATGTCTGCCCCCAAAGATCCTTTCTAGAAAAGACAGTCTTTTTGCACAGCCTCAGTCAGCTCTGCCCCCATCTCCATTATGACCGAATAATTTGCCCAATAGGAAAATAGGCCAATAGTCAACAACGTACCCTCTGATACACAGCCTCGCAGGGTTCATTTCAGGCCGCGGGATTGCGCCACGGGCGCTAATTCAACTGCATTCGATGCGGCTTTTAAACCCCCATGGGACACCTCGGCGAGCTGTTTGCCTGCAGTATCTGGAGAAATTAAAGACGGACGGACACAAGAAAATTAAAAAGATTACTTGTGATCCTGCAGGTTTAAAGAAGGACTATCTGAAAAAGCTCAAGTGTACCTTCTAGCTTGATTAAAGGACAGTGATACGCTCAAGTCAAGAAGAGGCCAGGATACCCTAAACACATATGCCTATCCAATGGCCTCTTGGTTTGGAAAACATAGTAAGGTTTACCAACAGCCCTTGCAATAGGACCTTACAGTTTGAAAAAAATGGCTGGTTAGGAACATATGATCCAGCAACTAATCAGGATAAAAATTTGACTTTGGTGATTCCAATCAAATTTATTAATTACAGTTCCAAAATATGCTATGATTAAAGGAAAGAACTCAGCCTTACCAAGTGTAGAGGAAGTTTTAACTTCTGAGTGGTCCATGGAATACCACTTTAGAAAAAGGCAAGAGAAAAATAAGGGGCCACAAAAAAGGAATGCAGTCCTTTAACAAACTAAGAAGGCAACTATAGTTCTCTGGCTTCTTTTTTTAAGATAGTCCTCCTTTAATACTGCAGTAAAGTATCACTGCAGAGCTAGAAAAGGGCCTGGGCAGCTACCAATAGGACAGACTGAGGAAGCACCATGATTTGAAGAAACAACGACCTATTGGAACTGCAGGCAAAACTGGAAGCCATGGGTACTTTAAAGACTTCTGAATATCAGAGAATGTTGTCTGTATCCATTTCTACTCATTTATGCACCAATGAGGCTATTGAGATCCCATATGGATTCCTGAAATGAACCCTGGTCACTGTAAAAATTAGCGAAATACATGGACATCAAACCCTTGAATAATGATCTTCATGAATACCTAAAATGGAGACTTGTAAAGGCATTTTTTTAAAAAGTACGAACATGTAAGTTACTTTTGGAGATATGTAAATCTAAACTCTTGTTTTTATATTATAAAACTCTATTTCAAATAAGATGACAGCAGACAACGACCTTTCCAAAAAGAAAACCCCTACATCGACCTTCCAAATACAACTTTCAATCCCATAGCACAAAGCCTTACAAAGCAGATTTTCCATTTAAGGAGTAGATGTTCTTTCAAAGAGCTAGTTGGTAATTGAAATACATCAGTCACTCAAGGAAAAACCATCTGGGGGCGCCAAAAACTACCAAGAATAAAAGATGTAGAGCATAGCGCTTTAGCTTTCCAGAGACGTATTTCTAATACTATCAGAAGGTTTAACACATACAGTATAACACTACAATTGTGATCTTTCTTAGCTTCAAACTCCTGTAGGAAACAGTCCACACCACACTCTCCATTTTCCTATTCTGGGACTTGGGCTGGGCTTTACGGTTTAAGGTATGTCTTCCTTGCTGTATTGTGTTTTGCTTTTACCTCCAGGACCTAGCCCCCTCCATGCTCTCTCCCCAGTTATCTACTTTAATATGATTAAATAGCTGTTTTCTTAGTTAGTAGTAATAAAAATAAATTTCAAGCAGAGAGTCCTAGTCCCAGATTAATAAAATGCTTTACTTTTATCAGCTTCAGCATCATGTACATTTAGATGAATTAGTCACTCCTGTCACACACAACCATCAGCAAAATATCAAACAAAGATACAAAAAGCCACTGAGGACAACATGCCCTCTCATATCACTCCTGGGGATCTCCTTTCCCTATTACAATACTTTCGTGTGTGTGTGTGTGTGTGTGTGCGTGCGTGCGCGCGCATGTTGTTTTCAAAACACTTCTTCAGACAGTATTTGTGGGAAGAAAAATTAAAGCTTGATTTTTATTAGTATAAAATAATGTGCCTTAATTGACCAACTCATGAACAATATAGTTCTTCTAGAATGCTGGATGACTGGAAACTGGAGTAAAACCAAACACCAGGCTTGGATTAATCCCTTATTTACCCCTCACATCCACATCAAGCTATTTGAGAAACAAAAGTTTGAAAAGGATTCTTCACTATATCAAATGTTTACTTAACCTCTTCCTTAGAAACACAGTAATCAGAGCCAGAATAATGAGATTTGAAATACACTTTTCTTTTGCTTTTTTCCTCAGTTAGTGAAACTTCTTGAAAACAGAGAAGGGCAAGTATGGATACTTTTTTTTTTTTTTTAATTTTTATTGGAGTATAGTTGCTTTACAATGTTGTGTTACTTTCTACTGTACAGCTAAGTGAATCAGCTATACGTATACATATATCCCCTCTCTTTTGGATTTCCTTCCCATTTAGGTCACCACAGAGCACTGAGTAGAGTTCCCTGTGCTATACAGTAGGTTCTCATTAGTTATCCATTTTATACACAGTATCAATAGTGTAGATATGTCAATCCCAATCTCCCAATTCATCCCACCCTCCCCCCTTCCCCCTTGGTATCCATGTCTATCCAATGTCTCTATTTCTGCTTTGGAAACAAGATCGTCTATACCAATTTTTTCAGATTCAACATACATGCATTAACATACAATATTTGTTTTTCTCAAGCACAGATACTTGAATATACAGTGAAAACTCACAGATTTATAACTCAACTGCCCACTTATGCTAAGAGATTTTAGAACCAAGGTCCTAGAGATGCCCTTCTGACAGTGAAGCCAGGCTAGCAGCTTCTGAGCAATATGTTTAAATGCTGATGCCCACTTCTGTCTCTCCCTGATCAGAAGCTAGGGCACAAAATGAGGTTTGAACAGAGATACAATCACTGTTGGGAAGTGGAGCCATGGGTGGAAAGGGATAGAGCTCAAAAGCCAACTGATGATGCAAAGATCACAACCCCGTGCTACACCAGCCCTCTAGGCCATGACCTGAAGTGTGTCAGAATATAATTATTGCAAGCTGAGAACAACAAACCTATGTTCTATTGGTCAGAAATGCTTTTGCCCTGTCCCAGCTTTCTATTTAACACAAACTTAAAGAATCAGATGGAAGATAAATTAGGTATAGCAGTCATATTTACAAAAGAGTTTTTAAAAAAATCCTCGTGAGTGCTTTGCCAAGAAGAACCTCAGAAACCAGCTTCCTTGCCAAGTTTCTTAGCTGCTGTTAGACCATGAAAAATGGAACACTATGGGCAGATACCTGGCATGGCGAAATTCCAGGTGATGAGTCTTAGAAGCACATGAGAAGCAAGCAGGTAGTGTGACCACTGTAGAGACGCACCTTATCTCCACATATGTTCCTGGGTGGTTTTACATACCTCGACTGAGTAGAGACCATATAGTTTTTCCACAATAACTTCTGCTTAACTGACAAGTGGAGATCACATCTGCTTGCAGTGAAAAATATGGTGCAAATCCCATCCTTTCATTATGGCACATAAAAGCTCTATCTTATTTATTGTTACTTTAAAAAACATACTACTGACCTAAGTCTCTTAAAGTGTCCTGAAATTGGTCAATTTTATAATTGTAAGAAAAGATAAGTATACTCTGTTGATAAAGAACACGGTGGTTATTAACTTCAAAAATCAATAAAAGTAAGTGAGAACAACTGCTATCGCAAAATCATATATGGCATCCCAGGCTATACACTCTTATAGGCTATTTCTTATACCCTTAGAAAGTCTCTTAGAGATTAAAACACAGACCTAAGAGGCACTTCATATTCTGCTAATACCCAGTTTTAAATGCACCTTCTCATGGATTCTATTAAACATACCCTTTCGAACAACCACAAAAACTCCTTACCTCTACCTAACAGCCTTGGCCAGTAAGCTATAGACTAAGGGCACATGTGAGTATAGCGTGGTGCACCTTAATATGTGTACTTGTGACCCGAGGGAAGACGCTCTCTGAATCATGTTCTTTCAGCAGGCCAAGACCATAATAAAAAATAAAATTTTTTTTCACTTACATCTTTCTGGTTGGAGTGGAAAAACCTGAGCGCGAAGTTACAGGACTGGGATGCAGCAGCGTACTGACCTAGGGATTCGGCGTATCGGGTCAAAAGATAACTAGGTCGGAAGGAAAGAAAAAAAAGGTTATACCTACCCACCTCTAGTATCAAATACTACACTTCAAATTACTATGGTAGAAAAACAGCTAGGCATACAAAAAGTTAAAACTTGCGGCCATAGAAATGATCTAATTCACAAAATCAAATTTTAAAAAACAGCAAAGTTAATTCAGTTTTTTGGGAGACCTAAAGCTCTATGCCATGCTTTCTTGCACTCAGATGATTAATGGAACACAAGTTGTTAGAGAACAGAATATTGTCTTCCTAAAACAGCTCTACAGGACACAGAGAAAATACCCTTGATTCATCACAAAGAACAGTCAAAATACAAATTCAAAGGATCTCTGGGGTCAACATATAACATACAAGTGTCAACCTCAACTGCAAGGCAGAAGTAAAGACCTGAAAACAATGTGTGCTAAGAAAAAGAGTTCAAAGTATATAACTGTTACCTGTATCTGGGAAAACTTTTTTTTTTTAACCATTTCTAAATTGTACACATTTGAAATTACCACAAAATACTGAGAAAGATAAAACTCTTTCTGTTTTGCAATGGGTCATAACAGGTGATTAATCTACAAAGCTTAATACCAGGAACAACTTTTCTGCTAAAATCAAAATGTTAAGAATTCCATATATGAGGACCCCACACTGCTGTAGCTGGCTGCTCATTATTCAGAGTATATACTACCAACCCAATGGTGTCATGCTGGATATGCTTAGCATCAAGGCTGGAATACAGATCCACCACCGGTTCAAATGCCCCCAGCATACAGTAGATTCGAACAAGCAGCAATTTGAATTGAGCATTGGAAGGGCTGTGAGTTAGTCCCTCTTCCAGCAAAGTCAGGGCCTGCCACACAGCGGTCTCATCACCTAGAACCAAAATATAACAGCATTATCCACAGACCTTGACAGCAAATGGGGGTTTCTCAAAAATAAAAAATAAAAACTGGCACCATCACCTCCCCTAAGTATTCTAAGGATGTGGTTGGGTGGCAGAGAACAAATTTTAGATACACACCTGTAATCAAAATAGGGAATTTCCCTGAAAAGACAGTCCCTCAATAGTTACCTCAGTTCTTAAACCTGCATCTGCAAAAATGATGCAAACTTTGAGCTGCCAGGTCTTAAAGAGAAGTCTGGAACCTCACAGGATCCTAGATTTTGAGAAGAGATGGACTTTGAAGGAGAACTAGAATCCACCAACCTTCCCAGTACAGGATTTTCTCTACAAGACCCCAGACAGATGCTTTCTCTTGACATCATTTTTCTTCCACATGTAACTCTACTAACAGATGTCAACTAATATTTGAAAGAAGAACTGCTCATTAATAACCAAACTAAAATGATAAACTTTTTTGGCCTACTAAAATTCAAAACGTTACATGCATCAATATTCTTAAAGAAAAAGTAATTTCTCTTTTATGAAATTATCTGAAGAAAATAATATGAAATGCAGATAAAGCTTTATATACAAAAACATTCGCTGTACTAATAATGGGGGGATGATTAAGTAAACTGTAGTTACACCCCCACAGGGAAACAACATACAGCCATTTAACGTTAACAAGGAGTTTTTAACAGCAAGGGAAAATAATTATGCAATAATGATCAGTAAAACATACAGAATTCAAACTAGTATGAAGAGTTCATCTCAAGTATATAAAACATTCACAGAGAAAGAGAGAAGGAAATACGCAAAAATGTTAGTCTTTTGGAAGTTGGAAAAATGAGATTAAAATAAATCATTTGCCAAATTTTTACGAGCTACTTTTACAGTTAGAAAAAACAGCTAAAATAAAAAGCTCCATGCACTGAGCTTTTAAAATTATATTCTATATGCTTTTTTCCAAGAGAAAAGAAACAAGACATAACCAAAAATTGGGGATTTAGATAAATATCATCCATAATCCTACCCAAACTATGCAAGCCACCCATGATCTACTCAAACTACCACTGTGATTAATGTACTGCTTTTGAACTATCAATTATGTATACATAACATTACTATGTAATGTATCAATTATAGCTCAATAAAACTAGAGGAGAAAAAATGACATCCTTCACTCCCTATTTTATTTTTGCAGCCCAATTTTACACAGTAGTAATCATGGCATACACCCGATTTTGTGTTTTCCCATGTTGCTCCCTGGTCTTCACAATCATAATTTTATTTAATTCAACACTCAGTGACCTAAACTCGGCAGTAACACTAGATATAACACCCAAAGATAAGAGTCATAGGTGGTTCCAGGCCTCAAGAGGTTCAGAATTGAGTAGAATAGATAGTTGGACAATTATAGATAATAGATAATTTCTTAGGTCCTACTTATTCAAGGATAACCAATATCAGAATTTTTTTTAAAACTTCTTGAAGATCTCTTTTAAATGGAAATAAAATTTCAAAGTAAACAGTAAAAAAAAAAAAAAAAGGTTTAATTTACACTTCTGAACTATTAAACCCAACATTATGATGACATTTATCATCTTATTTTATTTTGCAAAATTTAGAATATAACTACAACTCTATGCCAAATCAAAGAGCATCAAGGGTTGATGAGGATTTGGGGGACAAAATTTTTTAAATCAAATTTTATAATATAACAAAATGATATAATAAAAAGATATAAGATAAATAAATTCTGGGGATATAATGTACAGTATGGTGACTACAGTTAACCACACTGTACCGTGTATTTGAAAGTTGCTAAGAGAGTAGATGTTAATAGTTCTCATCACAAGGAAAAAAAAAAGTAGCTATGTGAAGTAATGGACTTTAACTAAACATATTGTGGTAATCATTTTGCAATGTATCACTATATTGTATACCTTAAACTAATACAATGTAATGTATCAATTACAGCTCAATAAAACTAGAGGAGAAAAAATGACATCCTTCACTCCCCATTTTATTTTTGTGGCACAATCATAAAGAAATTTTGCAAAAAACATTTGAGAGCATCATCAATTTAATCTTAAAATGCTCTTCTTAATCCTGTCACATTCAAATCAGTCTCTTTCAACATCCTCACCAATTTTCTATACATTTCTAATTTTTGTCAGATCCACCTTGAACAATGACTATTGTTCCAGCCTACAACTGGAACATTCAACATCACTTTCACTGACTTCAAGAAAACTTGCATCTATATATATATAGTATCTAGAACTTCCCATGTATTTGCACTGCATGATTTTGGACAACCCACCTAACTTCTTTCTCTCTGCCCTGTATTTCCCACATCTGTAAAACTGTAACAATCTTAACTGTATTGTTACAAGGTTTAAAATTAGCTAATTCATATAAAGCACTTTCAAGTGCCTGATGATCCACGACTGTTAACTGTTATTACTATTATATGGTCAGATATCTTGCTCCAAAACCAAGAGATTAGCAAAGCCACAGTCACTATGAGCAAGAATAGATGCCAGGAATAAGTGGGGAAGGGTATGAGTAGGGGCCAAATTACTAAGTAGTCAGTTCATTAATGGTTTTACATTAAGATGACTTTTACAGCCCTATGCAACCTCCTGAATGTGGGGTTCCAGATACCAAGTACTCTGATGAAAAGGATTTCATCCCCATCCCCGGTACAATACAGTATAACAAGTACTATCATATGGATATACACAACGTCCTACAAAAGTTCAGAAGGGGCATAAAATCTGCAATGAGGAAGGGGGTGAAATCAAGACAGGCTTGTCAGAGGCACTGTTTGAGTACAAGTGAGATGAAGGAGGTAAGAAAGTTATTTCAAAGAGAGGTAACATGATGTTCAGTGATAGTAGCAAAAAAAAACAACAAAAAGTAGATTCAGGGCTTTAAGTACTAAGAAACTGGAGATGTAGACAGACACTAGATTATAGAGAGCATTGTAAACCATCCTAATAAGGCTGACCTTTATCCTCAGGAAAATAGGGCATATCTGAAGGATTTTAAGCATGAGGAAGATAGTATCAAAATTGAGTGCTTGGTTAAATGACCCATGAGGGCAGGGTTGTGTCTGTCTTGCACAGCACTGTCTCCCAGCCCTGTTTCTTCTGCAGTTTATTCTCATGAATAATATGTAATAAGTAGCTAAGGTTATTTTTTCTCAAAAACTGCTAATAAGAGAAAATGTCAGAAAGTGAGACCTAAAGAAAAGGCAATCTCAGTACCATCTGCTGAATCATCCTTCTCTTGCTTAATGACTCATGATGCTTCCTTTACCATGCAGTATATATTTGTCTTAAATGGGCTAATCTGAACTATATTCCAAAAAAAGTGTATTTTCCTATATAAACTGAAGTGAACAAAAATGGCTATTTCATTCCATGGACCCATACATCTATATCTGAATCAGTTTCTCTGTATTTTAATTATTGTAACTTTGTAATAGGTTGTTTACTCACTATGCAGAAATATTTTAAAACAGAACAGATATCCACTGATTTAAGATTATCCTGATTACAGAGAGGAGGATACTTGGAGACTTTGGTTCTTCTAGAAGCACCCTGGAGAAGGGCAAGGAAGAAAAACCTAAAAGCATAAATCAAATTCTTAGATTATATACTTAGTCTAAGGATTTATAGTCAATAAAAACAAAGAGTAAAGTTAAACTGAAATCACTGCTCTTTACCTGTTTCTCTCCATATATCAATAAGCACATGGACAGCAAGGAGACAGTAATAGTCTGAAAATTGCAATTCGGTTTTCAAACAGGATTTCCCTATAGGGAAAAAAAAAATCATATCTGTATTTTAAGATTTGTTCAATTATTACTGCCCCATAGGAGTTTTTTTTTAAGCAAGAAAGTGACAGGAGGAAGAAGAGAAAAAGAGGAAAAGAAACTAATAAGAATGGAGTAAATACCAGAAGAAAAATATAAGCCATGAATCAAAAGAGTCAAAAGAAGGTGAGACCACACTCAGCTGGAGCAGAAGGAAGGGTTCCAGAATAGAGGTGGTATTCCAAATGGTCCCAAAAGGAGAGCAGCAAGATTTGGAAGGAGGTTTTAGGTGAAGAAAAGAACAGAATCCAAGAGCCATGTACAACTAATGTAATGTTATGCTCATTACTTCACCTAATTTTTTGGAATACAGTTAGAGAAATACTAATATCATCTAGTCAGATAATTTATATTTTATCACACATATCTAAGCAATCTGAAGATCATCTACTTCTAAACTAAATATTTATCTCACAATTTACAATTCTTTTTGGTCATTTACACAGTCTATATATTTAGAATATTAAGGCCTATAAGCAGAAAATATGACAATTATCATAAACTTTGCAATTCATCTGAGCCCCATGTGATAAAGAGTTGGCTGGCCAGATCAGGAAGAATATGGATATCTGGGAGCCAATTATAATTTTTAAAAAACTCCAAGCTTAAGAAAGGCTTTACATTTTATTACCTGGATAGTGTTCCCACTTGACAAAATATTTTCCTTGCCAAAAGCATTACAACAGCATGCTATGAGAGATAAAAAACTGACTTCTAAATCTTAGCAGATCAGGGAACTACTGCACATTTTGAAAGGCTGCTCACCAAATTCTAGTCCATGCTGGTACCTTAACATCAATTCTCTGACCACACTCAATTTCTGATTTTTATCCATCATGTGGTACAAGCCAAGTAACCTCGTCAGCTGCACCACACACAAATGTTGCTGCAGAGCTCTGACGTCAGCAGGCAGTGCCAGCTTATCCTCTGTTGGTGTTGACAAAGGAACAACTCCAAGTAACTGATTAATAAACTGCAAAGTTGAAAGAAAAAAAAGAAGTACAGGTCTCAAAACAGAACTAGTCTTTAGTAGGCCAGAATTAACAAATACTGAAATGGTCTAGAAAAAGGTATCAAGAAAAAATACAAATTAAAACCCCTTTAAGTATACCATTTTCTATCTACCAAAATGGCCAAAACAAAAACACTTCTAACAGCACACAGTGCTGGTAAAACTCCAGTGAAACTGGCACACGCATCCATTGCTGGCCAAAAGTATGATGTTAATACCATGTAGTATATGCACTAAAAGATTAAAAGAACTGTGAAAATGTTTCCTAAATTACAATACATTGACATAATATGTAATGTAGCAATGAAAAAGTTTAATTAGGAAGACTGTAAAAAAGAACAATTACCCCAAAACAAACCTATTATATTGATATACTACAAATAAATTCTTAAAGGAAACATTATACATTGAAAGGAATGGTTGTCCTGTCAATAGCCTTAAATTGTTTTTTTGATTAAAGCTTTAATTTTGAGATAATTATAGATTTGCACGCAATTGTAAGAAATAACACAGACAGATCCTGTGTACCCTTCACCCAGTTTTTCCTAATGGTAACATTTTTTTTTTTCCTGTGGCCGTACTGCACGGCATGCGGGATCTTAGTTCCCTGACCAGGTATTGAACCCATGCCCCCTGCAGTGGAAGCGTGAAGACCTAATCACTGGACTGCCAGGAAATTCCACCCCAATGGTAACATCTTGCAATAAAATGTTTTTAATTCTCTAAATTCAGTATAAATTTTTAAGAACACCAGTTCCACAACCAGTACAGTTGCAATATTGGCAAAAGTGAGAAGGGACCCCTGCATCACGTACAGGGTGTCTGTTTAAACTTCCCACATGATCGTATACTATACTCTGCAGCTGTTAGGATGCGAGAAAATGCTTGGGCAGCAAGAGTCTGGGGTTCTAAAAGGTGTTTATGGACGGGAAGTGCAGCCAAGGGGTCACAGGCATCACCCTTGTGTCTTCCCTATATTTTGTGATCCAAAACTAATAAATTATTTTTAAAGCAAAAAAACCCAGTTCCATTTACACATGTATTAAACACAGGCTATTTTCACTCCCTTCCAAGATCCTATTAGGATGACAGTAAAGAACAAAAAAGGAATCAACCCCAAAGGATCAAGAACATGTGAAGAGATGACAGCAAATAATAAACATTAACAAGATTTCAAAAGATAAAAAGCAGAAGGGCAGGTGGTAAGTAATAACCAATGTACAGGGCCAAGAAAGCTGAAACCCAACAGTATGAATGGGGAGACCACCAATAAGCAGCAAGCCTCTTCCAGCCACAGAACCTTGGAAGACTAAGAAATTAAGGGCAAGAGGTACGTCTGAAAGCTAAAGTGCTAGTGGGACTGAAACAGAAGAATTTGCTAAATTCTAAGAAACTAGACCCCTCCCCAAGTTCACTGACTGACTTCCTAAACCCAGCAGAAGCCACAGGTTTTCTTTACCCCCAGGAGATACTGAACCAGAGACACTGTAGACTCAAGGGGAGAATGGAACAGATCTATTACCTCATGTTTCAGAATACACTAAGAGGAGTTTTAAACTTTTATGGTTCTGTCTGATTGGGGTGAACTGAACAAAAAAATATTAACTCCAAGAAAGAAAGTTAAGAAAGGTAATCTCCATATACAAAGTGGCTTAGCTGTGAATATTTAGTCATTAAAATATAAATACTGCATAATTACTAAACTATACTGGGGGAAAAGTAGGTAAGGGGAGAAGTGGGATGTTATGAACGAAATTATTGCCTTCCACAGTAAGATACCAATAGATGAAGACTATAACTGTAAAAATAAACAAATAGCTAAATAAGCCTATAATTTAGAAATATGGAGTTAAACAACAGAAGAAGCAGTTAAGGGTTGAAAGTGATTTGCCTGTACAGAGCCAGAATCAGGGATGGAGAAGGCAAAGAGCTGCAATTGTTTTTCAATATAAGCCTTGTAGCACTATTTGACTTTTTCAATTTTATACATGTAATTTTTGGAAACAAAAATTAACATGGAAGTCCTACTCAACATGCAGTTTCACATCTGTAATGACTTTACTTCAATTTTCTACAATTGTATGAATTTTAATTTTAATTATTATGATCAGATAATTACATCTGTAACAAAGAAACTGTGGCACTAGTGTTCATGTTTTTGATTAAATACCTATATAATTTCTATTGCCAGCTCTTCCATTCTTGTAAGCCATTTTATATACTAGTTATGTTTATTATTAAGGCCTTCTTTATTGAATGCTAAAGAATCTTCCAAACAGGTTTTGTCACGAAACAATACATTCATTTGCTATTCTAGTCTGTACAGTTTCACTGCTACACAAAAAGTTTCTTTAAAAACTGGAATTATTTTATTGTTAGCTTAAAACCCCAAGGCAAAGGAAACAAAATATGAAAACGTCTCTATGGGTGAGCCTCTTCAGGATAACTGGACTCAATAGCCCCCTCTTAGGGGCCAGTCCCATTTTAGAATGCATCTCCTAATTCACTGGGACAACAGTTCTCAGTCTGAACCTTACTTGGACAGTTTGCAATCCTCTGACAAACATACTGCTGAGTGGCAGGATTTTTAGCTATTGAAGTCATCCTACATTTAAAAAGTTGTAGCAGCAAAATTACCCCTCTCAATTAAAAATTTACACAGGACTATAAAACTCACTGCAACAGCTTTAAATCTTTGTCTCACTGAACAATGACCACCTCATCACTGCTAGTATTTCACTATTTCTAGAGGGTTCCTCCCAGTAGATTATTAGTATATGTGGTCACAGAGGTGATCTAAGATTTTCAAACATGCCAATTAAGTAGAGCTTCTGGTACTAAAATTTATGCTAGCAAACCTATATGAATCTCAGCTAAATGCGATATAAGCATTCCTCTAATGCTTTCCCATCATTTGATGCTTTAACTTACAAGACAGTAAGCACTATAAAACATGATCAATCATTCCTTACCTTAGCACTTAGCACATAATATGTGCGACATTTAGTGAATGACTCCCACGTGGTTTTATTTTCTGCTTAAATCCCTCCAGTAACATGAAACTCACACACTGTACTTTTTAGAGAATTGTGACTATAAAAAAGACCTTTCTCTCACTGAGCCAAATTCTTAATTCCCTGCAACAACTCCTTGCTGGCCCTGTTCTCTTCCCTCTTTTACAGGAGAGCTTTTCAAATTATGAGAAATAAAGTACTCTGTCATCACCATACCAAACCTATCTCTTCCACTCAACCATCTCTCTCTCATAGGCTTTCAAGTCTTTCTATAACCCAGAACCCTCTTTTCTGTATATGTAACAATTTATCTAGAAAACTTCTAAAGCTTAGCCTGTGCCCTATAAGCACAGCAACCCAAGAACAACTTTTTCTAAACCAAAGTGAACAGTGGTAGTCATTTCAGAACCCAGTAGAGACCACTGGCTCCTTAACAGTTTGGGAATGCACTGCTCCATCTGCCCTAGATGTGTAACCTCAAGACTGCCAATGTATCAAGTGCTAGTGAGCTAAGGATATGGTCACGAAACAAATACTCTAGTCATTGCCAGTGTGTTCCCATTGAGTTTCACTCATTCCATATGGGGATGATAGAGGCTTTCTGGAAAAACAGGTTGTGGTAGCCCTGTGATAGCAAGACTTCCAACCTTCACTAATTAGAGTTTTTTATGAGTAAAGCTGACCAAAGTCACAGACTCTCTTGATACATATCAATATTTCTTTACATGATGTTGATATACATATAATTGATTTACATTGATTCTATCACATCAAAAACTCCCAATAGATGACAATTAAGTACAATATGGTACCCAGGCTTAGATCCCAGAAAAGAAAAAGGACATTAATGGAAGAGCTACAGAAATATAAATAAAGTCTAGAGGCCAGTTAACAGTAATGTACCAAAGTTAGTTTCTTAGTTTTGACAAATGTACCACTGTAATTTAAGATGTTAATGTTGGGGAAAGCTGGGCGAAGGGTAGAGTATAACCTTCTTTACTATCTTTACAACTTTCCTGTAAATGTAAAGTTATTCCAAAATTAAAGGTTTTTTTAAATTTTATTGAAGTATAGTTGAGTTACAACATTGTATTAGTTGCAGGTATACAGAAAAGTGATTTGGCTATGTATTTTTTTCAGATTCTTTTCCATTATAGGTTATTACAAGATATTGAATATAGTTCCCTGTGCTATACAGTAAATTCTTTTTATATATTTTGCTATAGTAGTCTGTATCTGTTAATCCCATACTCCTAATTTATCCCTTCCCCCACCTTTCCCCTTTGGTAACCATAAGTTTGTTTTCTACATCTGTGAGTCTGTTTCTATTCTGTAAATAAGGTAATTTGTATTATTTTTTAGATTCCACATATAAGTGATATCATATATTTGTCTTTCTCTGTCTTACTTCATTTAGTATGATAATCTCTAGGTCCAACCATGGTGCTGCAAATGGCAATTTTCATTCTTTTTTTATGGCTGAGTAATATTTCACTGTGTATATATAGACCACATCTTCTTTATACACTCATATGTTGATGAACACTTAGGTTGCTTCCATGTCTTCACTATTATAAACAGTGCTGCTATGAACACTGAGGTGTGTGTACCTTTTTGAATTCGAGTTTTCATCTTTTCTGGATATATGCCCAGGAGTGGGATTGCCGGATCATATGGTAGTTCTATTTTCAATTATTTAAGGAACTTCCTACTGTTTTCCATAGTAGCTATACCAATTTACATTCCTACCAACAGTGTAGGAGGGTTCTCTTCACACCCTCTCCAGCATTTATTATTTGCAGACTTTTTGATGAAGGCCATTCTGACTGGTATGAGGTGATACCTCATTGTAGTTTTGATTTGCATTTCTCTTAATAATTAGTGATGTTGCACATCTTTTCATGTGCCTGCTGGTCATCTGTATGTCTTCTTTGGAGAAATGTCTATTTAGGTCTTCAAGTTTATTTTTTTTTAATTCCTTAGATTTAAGAGCCTCAGACTGCTTCAGCAAGAATGAATCATTATTTGACATAATCAGCAATTAACTGCTACAGTTTTGAGCAAATCAGAGACAAGATATTAAAAGGAAATCTGGACTTCATCAAACTTTAAAACTTTGCTCTGAGAATTCCCTGGCGGTCCAGTGGTTAGGACTCAGTGCTTTCACTGCCGGAGCCTGGGTTAGATCCCTGGACGGGGAACTAAGATACCACAAGTTGTATGGCATGGCAACAAACAAACAAACAAACAAACAATACTTTGCTCTGCAAAGGATCTTGTTAAGAGGATGAAAAGACAAGCTACAGACTGGGAGAAAATATTTGAAACCACATATCTGACAAAGGACTTGTATCTAGAATATCTAAAGAACTCTCAAAACTCAACAGTAAAAAAACAAATCAACTAGAAAATGAGCAAAAGACAATAACAGACACTTCACTGAGGAGAAAATACAGATGGCAAATTAGCACATGAAAAAAAGTTCAACAGCATTAACCATTAGGGAAATGTACATTAAAACCATAATGAAACATCACTACACACTTACTAGAATGGCTAAAATAAAAAATAGTGACAATACCTAATGTTGATGAGGATGCAGAGAAACCAGATGACTCATACACTGCTAACGGGAATTTAAAAGATATAGCCACTGTGGAAAAGTCTGGCCATTTCTTTAAAAAACTAAATGTGCAGCTACCATAAGACCCCACAACTGAACTACTGGGCATTTTTCTCAGAGAAATGAAGACTTAGGTTCCCATAAAAAAACCTGCATACAAATGTTCACAGCAGCTGTATTTGTAATAGACAAAAACTGGACACACCCACATGTTCTTCAACAAGTTAAAGGAATCATGGTACATCTATACCATGGAATATTATTCAGCAATAAAAAGGAACGGACATGGTACATGTAACATGATGAATCTCCAGGGAATTACGCTGAGTAAAGAAAGTCAATCTCAAAGGGTTATAAATAATATGATTCCATTATATAACATTCTTAAAATGACAAAATTATAGAAATAGAAAATATCAGTAGTTGCTGAGGGAGAGGGACGGGGAAAGGAGGAGATACAGGGAGGTGGCTGTGGGTAAAAAAATGTAGGGAGCACATGGAGGGACCCTGGTGGTGAAACTACTATGCATCTTGTCTAGGTGGTAGTCACATGAATCCATACACTATATACGGCACTAAATATACACACACAAACACACCACACATATACACACAAATGAATGCATGTAAAATTGATGAAATCTGAACAAGGTCAGTGGATTTTATCAATGTCAGTTTCCTAATTATGACACTATACTATAGTTATGCTAGATCTTACCATTGGGACAAAGTGGGTGAAGGGTATATAGATCTCTCTGTATTATTTCTCTTACAACTGCATGTATATCTACAATTATCTCAAAAAAAAAAATATATATATATACACATACATACATACACAGACACACACACACACACACACACACACACACACACACCAGAAGAATCCAATTATCTATCAGGGGCTTATTCTCATTGCGGCTCAACTTTACAAGAAATCATGCCTTTAATCTGATAGCACCTAGACTCCTTGGCTTGATAGCACAATATCTTGATATCTCATGTTCACCACTTTCACCCATTTTAGAAAGGAAACCCAAACACTTAACCTAGTTGCAATAAATACAGGTACCCAACAGAACTCTGCTTACTTTTGTACACTGTGTAGCAGGCAAGAGGTCAACAAACACCTTGAGGTCTGTGAAACAACAAGGTTTATCCCCAAACTTTTTAAAATACTGGAACATTAATTCTTCTGGATCACCTAAGAGAGAGGGGGGGGGGGGAAATATCACTAAATTATTCATGGACTGAAGCAATCTCTAATTTAAGTGAGAAGTCTGACTTGAAAAACATTTATTTCAATTAAATGAAAATTTTGCTTGAATGAGAATGAGGATGACAATGAGGGCCGGAAGATAGCTTTTTGCCAGTTTAAAAATAAATACTAAAAAGGAGTTGAATCTTGCAAACTCAGTTTACCTGTTATTACACTGAGGAAATGTGAAGTTTTTCATTCAATTAAAGTTTAAATAGTTTAAAAGTTTTCATTAAAGTTTAAATAAAGACAAGTTTATATGCAAACATTAAACAAACATGTTTTTCTCCACAACAGTTCCTGAACTACTTAACAAATATTAAATATATGTTAACTAAATGAAAGGTAGTGTTTGTTAACAGGCACACCAACAGAAGAGAAAATAAATGGGAAGAGCCACGGGCCAATAACTCCAAAGTCACTCACTATGGAAAATTTAAACCTGGATATGCAGAAAGCTACCAATTCATTTTATTTTTCCTCAAATTAAAAATAAAAATAATAAAAGTAAAATACTCTCAAATTGGACTAGATTTAGAAAGCAGAGATTTTTAACAAGGTCTCTGTAAGATTTTAGGTCTTGGTTCCTGCTCACACATTTCTGGGAACAGAGATTTCATGGCTTTAATCAGGTTCTCACATGCCTCTGTGATCCAAAAGAGACTAAGAATCACTCACTGGTCTGGTAAAAAAAAAAAAAAAGAAAAAAAATTTTTTTGTGTGTGGAGACAAATTTGTAAGATTCACCAATTTGTAAGATTCAGGCTGGTGAGAGAGAAGAGAAAGACAAGGGATGAATATAGGAAGTGTGAAAGCAGATCCAAATAGTTTTATATCCAGCTTTGGAAAGAAAGCAACTCTTTTTTTTTTTTTTTTTTTTTGGCTACATCAGGCGGCTTGTGGGATCCTAGTTCCCCGACCAAGGATGAAACCCAGGTCCCCTGCAGTGGAAGCACGGTGTCCTAACCACTGGACCATCAGGGAAATCTGAAGAAAGCAATTCTTTGCAATATACTTTAACAATATTTTGCTGAAGGTCACATAAAAATTTTCATTTGCAATTCTGAAACAAACACGAACTAAAGTAATTGAGGTAGACCCAAAGAAAGAAGTCAACATGGAATTCAAAATTGGTTATGAATAATCTACATAGGGAATGACAGAGAGAGAGCCACGGTTAATTTTAGAATGAGATGCAAAGAACATTAATTACATGATTAAAATGGACAAAGATATTCTAGGATAGGTTTTAGGTATTGAGAAGTGCTCATCATCTCAGGACAACTGGTCCCTAAAAAAACCTTCTTAAAGTTAATCAACTTTTAATGAGAACTAAATTTCTATAATGATGAGTGGGCAAAAAGTTTTCTTTGGAGCTTTATCTTAAAAAAATGAAACTAAAAAAATTTTAAAGTTTATTCTCCTAAACTTAAAAAAATTAGGGTATAATTAAAACTAAAGCTAATTCTTAGTATGAGCAAAGAATTACTGATTTTGGGGGGAGTGGTGCTTTTTTCCCCACAAAACTGTGAATTAGTACAATATGACAACATTTACTTCTTATGTAGTATGCTCAAAAAGAACCATTTTACAAAAACCTCTAAGGGCTTCATCAAATTTCCTGAAGGCCTCTCTTAATGCTTTACTATCCAAATCATACTTTTCTCCCATCTTGTCATTGTCCTAATAAATTTTCTCCTCAACTGTTAACTGCTCTTTAACTGCTCTAACTCTGCCAGATGTTATTTCGTCAATGGTTTTGTGAGTGCTTAGAGTAGATTTTCAAGAAAACTTTCATTCACTTCTTGAAATCCTGAAACTTTTATAAAACTGGCTATTTACTTTGAAATTAATTTTGACATTATTGCTGGGTCAGCAAAGAACGCCTGACAAAGACTCTGATGGAATAGGGAGAGATGCTAAAGTTAAGCCGAGTTGCATGTGTGATTGAGGGCTAATTTTATAAGTGATCCATTCATTAGTTAATATTTTCAGGTTATGAAGATATTTGCTACTCAAACACAACTTTATCACTGTAGGCTTCAGAGAATAGATACTGCACTTGGGTGCTGAGGGCATCCCTGTATCTTCTCCAGGGTTCCCAAATATCATTACAGCTTCTTACCCAGTTTGTACTCATTAAAACCTTGACGTCGTAAACGTCTAATCAGCTCCAGTTTAGCCAGATGTGGTCCTCGGAGATGGCGAGAATTTTTAGATTCTTCTGTTATCCGATCTTCTATAAATCTCACAGCCTCTTCTGCAGAATAATGTACTTCTCCTTCTAAAGAGCTAGGTATAAACACATGAAAAAGGTAGTTTGTGCCTCTATTGTCCATCCTAAGTCAAGCCAAATTGATTTTAAGAAACAAATTAAAAATAACAAAGTACTTTGATAATTATAAAACAACACAAATTAGAATAAAAGAGAAATATGAGCATATTCTGACAGTTAACATGGCATATGATTCCTCTCAATTTTGGCATTTGATTATTGCAGAGTGACTAACCACCTCTACCTCTTTTTTAAAAAAAGAATGAATAATTTTGCATATATAAAATATTACCTAATTAAAAACATAAGTAAATTTTATTGCTAGAAAAGTGAGGCTGAGAAAAATTAGATGACTTACTTAATATTACAAAGTAAGCCTCAGTTCATATTTGGTATCATAAACCCTATTTTGTTATTCACTTTTTTAAAAGAGCCCATTGTATTTATTGTGGTATTGTCTGTAATAGCTCCCAAAACAGGAAGCAGCAACAATACAAGTATCTATCAACAGCAGACAGATTAAATGAACTTGGTACATTTCTAAAATGGAGTTCTCTTAAGTCATTAAAAAGAATTAATCAGATCTGTATGCACCATATATGGAAAGATGCCCAAGATACAATTTAGGGGGTGACATACGAAGTTGTAAACCATTACATCTAACATAATTGCATTCTTATGTTAAATAAGAATAATTAGATTAGTATATGCATAATATAAATAAATCTGGAAGAAAAGACACCAAACTGTCTTTTCCAAATAAATCTGGAAGACACCAAACTGTTATCAAGAGTTATTTCTGTGTTAATTACATCTCAATAAAACTGGAAAAAGAAAAAAATCATCCTGGGATGATAGGAAAACTAGGAACTAACACTTTCCACACCATACATTTCTGTACTAATTTAAGATTTTTACAATGAACACGTATTTATTTTAAAATTTTAAAATGGAAAAAATGTCTTGCTTTGAAAGGAATACATTATTGAGACAGAAAAAGAGAATTCAATTAGGCTTACAATGAAATCATTTTGCTACAGCATACTAAAAAGTGTTGTAATTCAGGAAAGAAGACAACTTACTGTTCACCTTCAGCAGGAGGAGTCCAGGCTTCTTCAATCAGTCGAAAGACAGAATCGAAATAAGTCAGATAGAACTGCCAGTCATCTGAGCTAAAATCAGATTGAATGGTGCACACAGGATTAAACCCAAGTTGTGACAAATCTGCCTGAGGAACCATGTTATTCAACTTATTTTCTAAGTTATATTTCAGTCTTTACTAGAAGAAGCCCAACCTTCCCTCTGGGTTTTTTCTACAGCCCTAAAAGGGCAACAACTCCAGAGGCATTTTCAAAGTCAAACATTTTCAAGAAACTACTCTTTCCTTCAATAAAATGACCAGGTCTAAAAAACTAATATTCTCAGGACTTCCCTGGTGGCCCAGTGGATGAGACTCTGCACTCCCAATGCAGGGGGCCCAGTTCAATCCCTAGTCGGGAAACTAGATCCCGCATGCATGCCGCAACTAAGAAGTCTGCCTGCCACAACAAAGATCCCGCGTGCCGCAAATAAGACCCGGCGCAGCCAAAATTAAAAAAAAAAAACAGCTCATGCAGCCCTTAATAAAAAACTAGTATTCTTAACAGAAAACTCCCCACATTAGTGCTTTCTAGGGGGGCTAAGGGGAGGCTCTCTCTTTTAGACCAATATTGAGTTTGACAAATTAATGACTTTTCAGCATTCATTCTGAATACTCAGCACCCTGGTGGCATAAGTTCCATTACACCTCTTTATTGAAAGATGAAGGCTGGGGCTTCCCTGGTGGTGCAGTGGTTGAGAGTCCACCTGCTGATGCAGGGGACATGGGTTCGCGCCCCCGTCCGGGAAGATCCCACATGCCGCAGAGCGGCTAGGCCCATGAGCCATGGCCTCTGAGCCTGCGCGTCCGGAGCCTGTGCTCCGCAACGGGAGAGGCCACAACAGTGAGAGGCCCGCGTACCGCAAAAAAAAAAAAAAAAACATGAAGGCTCATTAAAAACTTTAAAAAAATATCCAGAACACACAACTAAAAGATTTCACTTTATGCCCAGAAATCTCAAAAGATATAGACCAAAAAAATCAATGGTGAGACCTGAAAGCCCCACTCCAGTCTCATAGTCCAAAAAGAAGCATCTACTTACTTTTTCAGTAAAAGGCGCCGAGAAAGGGCATTGCACTCTGGCCACCTGCTCAGCTTCTTGTACATAGCCATGCATTTATTTTCCCGACTCTGAATCTCACTTGTTAACTTCTCTACAATTAAAAGTTATAAAAGTTGGTAAGCTGGTTTCATTTCTGCTCAGAAACCAGAACAAAATCCATATACAAGAAGGAAACTGTCACATTTTCTTATTCACTCTCTTAGAAAATGGGACCACTATTAGATACAAACTACCATCTCACTAAAGATTACTTTCCTGAAAGGAAAAATGGTATATTTCTGATACTAAACTTTTTAATCCTTTTTTTCTGCAAAATACAAGGATCCAGAATGTCTTGAGTTGAGGATCTAGTATGTGGGATACACATAAAATCCCAACAGCGTCTAAGGACTGGTATATTTAGACCATAGACAGACCATCCATACATTTCCAAAACATTGAATAAGCTTGGACTGGAATGAGATGAGAAAGGGGAGATGTTATGAGGAAGATAAAAAAAGAAAAGAGATGAATCAAACTCTTCCAACAGCTGGGAACAAAAAAACTAGGACTATATTTCTGACCAAATTAGATATGCCCTGTCCTTTTAGAATGGTTTAGCAGATTAAGGATGCCAACAATTCCATTATGAATTTTCTATAGAGAATCTAAATTGTAACTATCCATACAACTACAACCTAACTGAATAAAAACAGAAAGTTGACTTGTACCCACCTGCAAGGAGGCTGAAGTTAGAGAGTAACATTAAAAATAAAAACAAAAACAAAACTCTTCCTACATTTTATATAATTAAAGTAGTTAACTCAGTTACTATTACAGTTTTGTGATAGCACAAAGTCTAGTAAAGGATATACATACTTGTAAAAAACAAAGTCTTTTTAATGGCTGGACCTAATGAGAGTTCTGAGGCTACTCATCTACAGTTAGTTACTCCCAATAACCATAAAGGCACGATTAAAACCAGGGTTGTCAAAACAATAACTGCATTCCCACGAATTTCCCGTAAGGAAATCAAAGATGTGTAAACATTTAGGAACCAAAATCTCCTAAGTGTCCAAAAATAAGGGAATAGTTAACACTATCTATGAAGTTCATACAAATCAGTTTTCCAACAACAAAGGAGGAAGTATTTTCACAACAATGGAAAAGAGCTAACTTCTTTAACATGTACTCTTGCAAATCAATAAGCAGATTAACCAAATTTTTAGAAATAGGAAAAGGATAAGAAAAAGCAGCTCAGAGAAAAAAAAATTATTAATGGCTTTTAAACAAATGAAGAAATAATTATCCTCCCTCATAACTAAATAAAAACTGTAAGGTATGTTTTACCTATCTCATTGAAAAACATAAAAGGTTTGATATGGGACTTCCCTGGTGGGCCAGTGGCTGACTCCACGCTCCCAATGCAAGGGGCCTGGGTTTGATCCCTGGTCAGGAAACTAGATCCCACGTGACACAACTAAGAGTTCACATGCCACAACTAAAGATCCCCGCATGCGGCAAGGAAGATCCAGCATATGGCAGCGAAGACACAGCCCAGCCAAATAAATAAATAAATAAATATTTTTTTTAAAGTTTGATCTAAAATTTTGATAATATAGGTGGGTAAATATGCAAAGAAACAGGCCCTCTTACAATCTAATAGCATATACAGCTGGTGGAAATGCACACTGTAGCCTCTTAGACGGCAATTTGGTTTATAGCAAAGATGTTCCTTGCAAATAGCCTAAATATCCTTCAAGGATGAGCTATGTAGTAAACTGTCTACGTTTATACTATGGAACATTGGGCACCATTATAGAGAGTGAGGTAGTGAGGTATATCTCTAAGACACACTGTTTAGGTAAAAAAACAATGGGTCTAAGAGTATGCAGAGAAAAGGTCACAAACTCAAATGCCTTCATAGGACAGACAGAATAAACATCTAAAAATTTTAAAGAAAAAAATATTTAATAAGAACATTGTGCAGAGCAAGATTACTCTTAGGGTCAAGGTACAGTATATTCTCAATTGTGGTTTAAAAAAGTGGGGGGCCCCTTTCTGCCTCCACTGCCACCATGGTGCCCGGGAGAAAGTTTGTGGCAAAGGGGGGCAAAAAGAAAAGAAGCAGGTCCTGGGGCTTCCCTGGTGGCGCAGTGGTTGAGAGTCCGCCTGCCAACGCAGGGGACACGGGTTCGTGCCCCGGTCCGGGAAGATCCCACATGCCGCGGAGCGACTGGGCCTGTGAGCCATGGCCGCTGAGCCTGCGCATCTGGAGCCTGTGCTCCACAACAGGAGATGCCACAAAAGTGAGAGGCCCGTGTACCACAAAAAAATAATAATAAAATAAAATTAAAAAAAAGAAGCAGGTCCTGAAGTTTACTCTTGACTGTACCCATCCTGCAGAAGACAGAATCATGGGTGCTGCCAATTTTGAGCAGTTTTTTCAGGAGAGAATCAAAGTGAATGGAAAAGCTGGGAATCTTGGTGGAGGTGTTGTAACAAACGAAAGAAGCAAAAGCAAGATTACTGTAACTTCTGAGGTGGCTTTTTCCAAAAGGTATTTGAAATATCTCACCAAAAAATATTTGAAGAAGAATAACCTATGTGATTGGTTATGTGTAGCTGCTAACAGCAAAGAAAGTTACGAACTACATTACTTTCAGACAACTCAAGGTGCAGAAGAGGGGCTTCCCTGGTGGCGCAGTGGTTAAGAATCTGCCTGCCAATGCAGGGGACATGGGTTCAATACCTGGTCCAGGAAAATCCCACATGCTGCGGAGCAACTAAGCCGTGCACCACAACTACTGAGCCTGCACTCTAGAGCCCGCGAGCAACAACTACTGAAGCCCACGTGCCACAACTACTGAAGCCTGCACGCCTAGAGCTCATGCTCCACAACAAGAGAAGCCACTGCAATGAGAAGCCCACACACTGCAACGAAGAGTAGCCCCCACTCGCTGCAACTGGAGAAAGCCCGCGTGCAGCGATGAGAACCCAAAGCAGCCAAAAATAAATAAATAAATTTATTAAAAAAAAAAAAAAGATGAAGAAGAGGAAGATGAGGATTAAAACTCAATTATCTGGGGACCTCCCTGGTGGTCCAGTAGTTAAGACTTCACCTTCCAATGCAGGGGGTGCAGGTTTGATCCCAGGTCAGGGAACTAATATCCCACATGCCTCATGGCCAAAAAACCAAAACATAAAGCAGAAGGAATGTTGTAACAAATTCAATAAAGACTTTAAAAAAAAATGGTCCACATCCAAAAAAAAAAACCAAAACAAAACAAAACAAAACTCAATTATCTGGAATATTTTGTATGAGCTCTTGAATAAAACTTAGGACCCCAAAAACAAAAAAAAGGGAAGGGGGAGGGGAAAGATACTACCTTAGAAGGATATACAGAACAGGTAACTGGAGAAGGATGTAGAGGGCAGAGGGTTGGAGATCTGGGGTAAAATCATACTCCCTGAATTTTCTGAATCCATGAATTATTTTCATTCATTCATTCATTCGGCTATGCCAGGACTTAGATGCGGCACATGGGATCCTCGTTGCCACGTGTGGGATTTTCCTTGTAGCATGCAGGATCTTTAGCTGAGGCATGCAGGATCTTAATTGTGGCATGCAGGATCTAATTCTCTGACAAGGGATCGAACCCAGGCCCCCTGCATCGTAAGCGCGAAGACTTAACCACTAGACCACCAGGGAAGTCCCCATGAATTATTTTCAACTAAAAATTATTTTTAAAAAGTCAATACAGAAAAACCTGAAAGAATCTAAAATGATTGCAAGTGATTTTTTAAAGTCTTTATATCTTTGTTTCTGTATGTGGAAGAAATTTTCCACAATAAAATTTTTCATGTTTAAATAGGAAAACAAAACAAAAAAATACTTTAAGAAAACTCTAAAAATTACCTCCTAATTTTCCTCTGATGACATCCAAGGCTTCCTGGTACTTTCCCAAACGTTCTAGGATCATATAATAAAGTTCAACCTTACAAAAAAAACAAACAAGAAGTGCAACCATTGAAACTTTTCAGTAATAAAAAGTCATCTGTATGTTTTTAAAAAGCTATCTAACAGAAAAGAACACTATATCTTCAAACAAGATGAAATTAACAGTGAGAATCAGACCATAGTATCTCTCCTACCTATATCTCGGCAGAGTACTTTCTGGAAACATGCTAGAAACAGTTCCTCACTCATTATACCTAGGCTGGGGAGTTCCAAAGCTTCACATTTACACAAAAAGCAAGAGTGAGGACCCAGTTCTCTAAATGGAATACAGCAACAGTTCATAATACTGTAACAACATCAAAAACATGCAAATACAAAGTGGGGCTTAAATTACTCACTTCAGCCTCTGCTTCTATCTTGTCCTCTTTTACCATTTTTTCTACCATTCTCTCAGCAAGGGGCAGAAACATCGTTTTTGAGAGGTTTTCATCCTGCGCTGATATAGACTAAAGGAGAAAAGATAAATGTTTGCACTATTTATATTATTACCATGCAGACCATTATTGTAACTCTGGCACATAATTATCAACCCACTATGTCAAATATCAGACCTAATTTGAACTTGAGAGTGGTTTGCTTTATAGGAGATTTCTTTACTAAAGATTCTTATGTTATGCATTCTTGAAATACATAGTTTCCACAATATGACCTAACTTTTAAATATTAGGCCATTCATACATTTTTTTCTAGAAATATGTTAAGAGGGGATATGTTTATACTATTTACTATATATAAAGGGTACCAGGTATCTGAAGAGTCAAAAACCTTTGAGATGTCTTATTGAGACCTTCACATATTAGAAGGAAAATGCCAATTCCTTCTATTTATAGTATGGCTTACTATTAGCTACAGTTTCCTTAGCATGATATTAATCATTTTAATATTGCCAAAGATTCTGCTCAGAGCTCATTTATCCCCTGAAAACAACCTTTCAGGGTAGCTATTATGCTTATTTTATAGTTAAACTAAGGTTAAAAGATTCCCCAACAGCTCAAGAGACATGGTGAAGCCAATGTTTGAAAGCAGACCTGTCTGAACCCAGAGCCTCTCTGTTCTTAACCTACATTTTAACTCCAGAGCCTCTCTGTTCTTAACTGCTACATTTTAACTCCTTCCTCCCCATCCTCTCATACACAGTATCTTATTTTGGTACTTATAGCTGCTCTGGGAGATGAGCATCTCCATTCTGCAAAAGAGCAGACTGAGGCTCAGAAAGCAGAAGTGATGAAACAAGGTCACCCAGTTCAATGATCCGTTCAACAACCAACAACAGTGCCTTAAAGACAAACCTCAAGTTAAAATAACAAACATTTCGAGGCTCATACTTGATCAAGTAACCCAGTAATGGATCTAAGATTCAGGGGAAATACACTCTGTGCTACACACAAATAAACCAATATATCAACTCAAAAAGAATACTAAAACTCCTCAACTCAAAAAAATCAACTGACAATGTGTCACATCCCTATTTGACACATGCTGCGACATATTACCCAAGATGTTCAGAGGACACATTAAGGACAATTACTATATACAAAAATAAAAACAAATCTCAATCCCATTCTGAATGCCATACTCACTTGCATTATTAAGCTCATCACAGACCAAAAGTAGTAAGGGTTTTTGGGGACAATCTTATATAGAGCCATGCCAGCCTGAAAGACAGAGAGCCGTAAATACTTAACTTAGAAAACATCATACAGAGGGTAATTAATGACCTAGACATGTGGCAAGAAGTTTCCTAGGAAAATAGCAACATGTTTACATATGCTGGTTACTGTAAGTGCCTAGTAACTTGATGGATGTTCTCTACAGGATAACAATAGAGGTAATCCCAAAGGTGAATTTTTACAATATCAAGAATGATATTTCACCTTTTGAATCAGATTTTCTTAAACTGAAGCCCAGTGTTCCTAGAGAATACTGCAATCCAATATAGTTCTGGTAGACTACCAAGCAAAAACAAAAGTTGGGTTATGAATGTATATCAATAAACTTTACTGAAGCCATTGCACTAATCAGTTATAGTAAAACAACGAAATCCAGACAGTATATTTAAACTTCAAAATCAGACAAAATTACTCTGACATAATTCAAAAAATAATTCTTAGGTTAGGAAAATATTCAGGTTCTTTCAATATACCATTAAGTAGAACTGAACCCTCTCATTGTGAAATGTATAATATGCAAATACTTAGAAGTAGGAACCATGGCACAAAGGAGCAAAGTAGATCTATTCACGTAAAACTGAGAATCTGTCCATAATTGCCAACTAGTAACCAATGTTAAGAACTCTGTCAGCTAATTATCACAGTTACTATTTTATTTTTTAATCTTTTGCCTATCTTCAATCCACTTGAAAAAAATACATGGAGCACCTATTAAGTGGAAGGAAATGTCTATTCCTGCCAAGGATACAAAGATTGAGTCCCGATCCCCAAGGCACTTAAAAGCGAGGGAAAG